AAAGTACTTCTGTAAGTATTCAATTAATTTTGCCCAAATTTTCGTATTAATCCTTAGCGTAGGTCATTTGCAGTTGACAAATGCACGTTTACGTGTTATTTTTTACGTCAGCGCCATGTAAGATATCGAGAAAAAGAGTAAACTATAGCGGTAATTTATCGGAAACTATACGGTTAATCGAACCCATATTTAACACACATACGTATTAATACCTAAATTAATTTTGCTACAAGTTTCAAGAAGATCTGGGACTTCACTGTTTTTGACCAAACTACCTTAATAGCGTCAAGACGCTGAAATCTGAACGGTTTAGATTTCTGCGCAAAGGTGCTGCGCACGGTTTGACGCTCGATGTTCGAACGCTTCTATGTAATAGCAACTTAAGTTAATCTCAAGGATAACAAGGATAAACAAGCAATACAAAAATATTCTCTGATCAAATTATGAAACATTGAGTCACAATCGCAAAAATAACTGAAATTTCATGGAGTAGTAACAACCATTTCGATTTTTCTCGTGTACATTTTTTCATACAGATATGAATGATAAACGTAAAAATAGAGCGATTATCTGCCTCGCAACAGTGCGCGTTGCTAACGACGCTTTGGATTTTTCCGTCAAGTGTGCCATTGTAATATTTACATGTTTCGCGCTACTGTGTAATGTGTATAGTGAGTAATGGATCGCAGAATGATAAGATATATCGAGGTAATAACGTATGGCAGAATTAAAGAACCGTTCCCAAATAATTTTATCGACGATATAACCAGATAATTTTTTTAATCGTTACGCGATTACAACTTTTACACAAAATTAAAAAATGTCTAAGCTCTTCCAAGTTTCGTAAATATTCATTTAATAAATGCATCTCGTTTAAGAGAATGACCGTATAATAATAATAATAATAATATCAAGATGTAAGAAAAATCGAGAGAAAAAAAAAGAGAAAAAGGATTCGTACAATCATCCAATCGAATGACCAAGTAATTTTAGTTTCTAATATAAAAGGCATCTTTCTCTTTATTTTTATCATAACTTCTCTTTTACAATAAGATCTGCATATCTCTATATCAATTTACACGAATAATTTTTATTTTTGTAACGATAATTTACTTAGAACTGTCATTTGCAGGGGACGCGCGCAATCCCCAGGTAGAACACAGTCATATAAAAGTCAAAATGACGTCAAATGATATGTTGTCATTTTGACGTCAAACGATACCATTTTCGTGACAATTTCATAACAATGATGTCAAAATGATATCATCTTGACATCAAAATGATTTTGTATTCTACCTGGAATCGCAATAAACTGCGAGATACTTCAACGCCTTATAGAAAGTTTTAATCGCATGTGAAGTGAAATTACTTTAGTAGAATATGAAGAATTAGTAGAATATGAAGAAATGAAGTATGCTACAAAACGTACTTGAAAACACTATAATTGATGAAATAACTACTTCTGAATATATTTTCTTTGTTATAAACGTTCTACATTGTGAAATATGACTCTTATTATTGTTTCAAGTATTTAAAAATGAATTATGCGAATATGAGAAAAATTGCAAGAACTTTACGACAAACTCTTTGCGCGTAAGTATATGAGATTCAATTAAATGAACATGTATTATGCACGCGAAAACGATATGAACGATCACTAAATCGTAATAATAGTACAACACATTCGGAAATAAAATTTTATTTAAATACCAATGCAAAAAGGTGCAACTAAGAAATATTTATTATATTGGTGCAAAAAGTTGTATAATAAAGATTATAAAAGTGTCGCGCATAAATTTCTCGTTTGCGAGTATACATATCACGCGACAATGATCTCGCAATCATAAAGGAAATAAAACATTGGTCGATGTTTTGAGAGTAAAATCTGCATAATCCAAAGAATACACAAGGAGACATGCCGTTATCAGGAACATAGTTATCAGTCAGCGAGAGGCGTAATGTTGCACAGAGTTCGACATAACGGTCTCAATACGCAGTGGCTACAGTTCTCAATCGACAATCTCAATCAACAATTATTGATGCGTGTCAAAAATGCATTATTGAAAATCGTTACAAACCCAACAATATAAACGTTAAGAAAACTATTGTACTGGCCTGTGTACTTTTGAATGAGCAACAATAAAATGTGACTGACACGCATGTGCGTACGTCGCATAATAACTCGTGATTGAGTCCGCTACTTCTCGGGCTTCGTTCCCTCTTGCTGGCCCTGCGTCGTCAACTCTTCCCCTATCTCGTTGTCTTCGACGGTCTTCTCGGTGCTGTACGTTGCATTAGCCTCAGTGGTGGTGATACGACTTTCATTTTCAGCACCGCCGCCATCGCTTTGAAGAGCCGGCTTGCCGGTCTGCTGAATCTCGATCACCTTTTCTTTCGGTTCCTCGAGTTCCTTCTTCAACGGCGCCGTGATGATCAGTATACCATCGGAGGATATGGTCGTTGACACTTGGTCGAGGTCCGCTCGATCCGGTAGCAGGTATTTCCTCAAAAACTGCCGGGAGATGCTGCCGTGTTCGTCTCGTTTCTCCTCGTGCTTGGCCTCAACGACGATACAGCGTCCCACTACTTTGACGGTAATCTCCTCTGGCTTGAACTGCCGCGCATCGATGATGACCTTGAAGTTGTCATTGTCGGAGGCAATACCCATCATGGTGGCGTCGTCCTTGCGACGCATTACATCCATCCAGGGCCGGTAATAAAAATCCAAAATCGCTTGATCTCGCCAGCTCGGGAAGTAGCGATCGGAAGGACGTGAGAGGATGGACTTGTCAGGGTTTAAGCCTGTAAGGACGAGATTCGGATCCATCATACGATGGGAACGATCGAAATCGATCAAGGAAGTCGACAACAGCAACGGCAGCAGATACATGATTTTTACTCTCTTTCTCTCTTTGTCTTCTCGCTTTGGACAGTAATCAACTTTCTTGAGTTATTGCCTTGCTGATAAAAGTGGATGAAAAGCAGTGACGTTTTTTGTTACACTCACTCGAGGCTTAGTTTTTACAACTGCTGCGGGGGTCGTTGCGACCGGTATTTATGTTGGACCGATTCAACTTGGTGGGGAGGATGATTACGGTGCGCTACGTGGTGGCTTCCAGAACTTACCGCGGATGGAAGTTGCAGTTGCAACTAAAACGGATCTGCGCCAATCTGCGCAACCCTCTCTCGGTCTAATCAACGTTCAACGCTGGACGGAGATACGCTCGACTATCCTATTCTCTTATGTTTGTATCGATAGCTACCGGCTCAAACTTCGGCGCAGTAATATATTTCAATATTTTTTCTTCAAAAATTCGTAAACTCACCGAGAAATTTTCGAATCGATCAAATTGCAGTACGATATTATAGTCGCACAATATCGAATGTTAACTTGTTAAAATCGCCGTTTTATTAACAATCTACATAGATAAGACTGTGTGCCTATGTGAAAATTGCAAAAAGGAGACTCATAATTGAACAAAGCAGTCGTAAGAATGCGTCTAAAATGATAAAGCCACGTCAACGTTCGAAATGATAGCTGTATGACGCAACCTGCTGCTGTTTGTTGATGAGTAACAATAACGTGGAGCAGATACGGTGACAAAATGGCTAGAGTAATTACAACAGATAATATACGAAGCGTTATTCATTTTACAATATGATGTAATTATGCTGTCTTTTATAAAACGTCACCTTGAAATAGATATTAGATGACATGTATTTGATGGAAAAATTCCACGTTGCTCATTTCGCAAATTTTAATTTGCAGACAAAAATAATTTAATTCGAAAATATTTAATTCGAAAATATTTAATTCGAAAATATTTACGTTGAATATTAATTTCTTTTATATGATTTATAGTGATATTCCCTTACAAAAAATATAATATAAATATTAAAGTTCAATAGTGAAAGAAAGTCTTATATAACTTTACTAAATGTTAACAATAAAAAATATAACAAAATTATCGTACTTGAAAAAAGTTGTTAATACTAACAACAAAAAATAAGAAACAAAAAAAATAACACATTGATGATATTTTCATATTTAAACTGCGTAATTTATTATTATATGCGAAGAAATTTCGTGTTTGCCGGCAAACGCATGTTATACAAATATTGTCCCACGTTTTTAGCTGTACTTTCAGGTGTCGTCAATGATGATTCATAAAGAGCGTACACACACACACATACTTTTGTGTGTCTCAAAATAATCTTCGAAGCTCTCGTGGAAGCATAGTATGGATTAAGGTGAACATAAAATCCTATACCATTTTGCAATATTCGCAATATTTATCGAGATATTAATTTTAAAAAATTTGTAAATAATAAATGTGGCGAAATATGGTAGATGAGCTGTAGTGGCGACATCTGCTGTCGTGTGCTTGTACATTAGGTTAAACAATTAAACAATTAACTGAACAAAAAAGAAATCCTTTACTATTTTTCTAATAACATTGTAAATTTTTAGTTATTAATTAAATAACATTAATATCTTATCGCGAGTAACCATCCGCTAATCTTCTTTAACTAATAATTAAAAATCTATAAAGTTATTAAGAAAATGCTAAAGGACTTTCTTGCTCAGTTAGACTTAATGTACAAACACATGATGGCAGACGTCGCTACTACAGCTTATCTACCATATTTTTTACATGATTATTCATAAATGTTCTTTAATTCATATTTTGATAATTATTGCGAATATCACAAAACGATATGACTTTTATATTCACCTCAATCAGTTTATGTCTCTACAAGAACTTCCAAAGTTTTCCTAAAACACCCAGTATAAGTTTATAAGTGTGTGTGTGTATATATATATATATGTGTGTGTGTGTGTGTGTGTGGTATGTGTGTATGTGTGCGCGTGTGTGTGTGTATGTGTACACACTTATACATTTATGCATGTTATTATTAAAATGTCGGCATTTTTCTGATAAAAAATTTGTCATACATAATTATATATAAAATTTGTTATACATAATTATGTATAATTAAATATAATCATATAAAATTATATAAAATTATATATAATTTTATGATTTTTTATTTTTAACTTTTTTACGTTTGTTTTTTTTAAATAATTTGTATTTTGTAATATGAGAACATACATATATAGTAAAAATTAAATTGGGGTAAAAAAATTAATATGTTGATTTCATTCTAGACTAATGGAAAATTTTTCATACATATAAAATTATATAAAATTATATATAATTTTATATGTATGAAAAATTTTCCATTGGTCTAGAATGAGATCAATATATTAATTTTTTACCCCAATTTAATTTTTACTACATATGTATCCCACACAGCAGAGGTATCCAAAATATATCATAGAGATATCCTAAAGATATCCTAAAGATATGTGATATCTTCAAAATATCCCTATGATGTATTTGGGACATTTCCTGCTGTGTGGGATATATGTTTTCATATTACAAAATACAAATTATTTCAAAAAAATAAAAAAATAAAAAACGGCTCTAAAGATTTAAACACAAAAAAATAATTTCAAGGACGATAAGAGCCAAAAACAAATTATTTCATCACGCTGTCATGTAACACAGTGCACGTGAAACGTAGTATATGAATCAATAATAATATGTGTCACTTAACTCTTACGCAATATCTCGCAAATTGAAATCACTATTCGTTGTCATTTTAAATAATAAATTCTTGAATCTTCCGGAAAATTCGTCCAATTTTCTCGATAGTTCTCTCTCTCTCTCTCTCTCTCTCTCTCTCTCTCTCTCTCTCTCTCTCTATTTACGCGCTAAAACGCGCAAGTCATATCTTGCGCTATATATTCCTGCAATGCGCGTGCAATCAGTAGAGAAGCGACTATCGTCGAAACCAGTTTGACTGCCGTAGCACAATACTTCTACTATACAATCTACTATAAACTTGTTTCGCACAGTTCGGTCTTGGACGTTTTTAATCGATAAGATGAGTAGACATAGAGTGTCACTACTTCCGAAATTATTTTCGTATTGGTGGGAAACTCTGGAACGGCCGCATCATCGCTTCCTGGAGCAGCGTGTTATGAGGAAATTTCAACCCGATCACATTTTTGGACCTTCGGTGTTTGATAGATTCGACAGTAAATTCGAGAGAGAATTGAAGAATTTCTCTCGACCATGGAGCGAGTTTCTGCGGGAGCACGAAAACGAATGGCCTGTCATAGAAAATAACAAAAACAATTTCCAAATATCTCTGGATGTGCAAGAGTTTGAACCCGACGAAATCAATGTCAAATTGATGAACAATTTTATTATCGTCGAAGGTAAGAGATCTTTTTTGAGAAAAGAGAAATGTAGTTGACCTTTAAAATTTTAGAAAGTATCCAAATAGTAGAACGACGTTTTAATGATACATACTAATAACATCTTTAATATCATTAATATCTTATTATTACATCATTTGATATCATCATGTTTATTGGAAATAATGTCCGTTTAATGCTACAAATGCTTAAAAGCGACGGAAGAGCCAATCATATTGTTTTATTTGATGCTTTGAAGTATTTGCAGTGTCGAATGGATCTTACCTCGGGTATTGATTATGTCGCGCTTTCAAATCGACTTGCATCATCTGAGGCAGATTGCATCATTGTAAAGTGCGATCCATTATGGCTTTCGCAGCCAGCGCAATGTGCGACGCGACACACGATAACCCAGTAAACATGCACGTCTAAAAGATGTCGAAAAGATATGTAAAAGATATCTTATGCAACATTTTGTTGCATAAGACGTCTTTTAGATATCTTTTCGACATCTTTTAGACGTGCATGTTTACTGGGAAGCGATGAGCGATATCCAATAAGCATACTAGTATTCCGCAAAATCTGTACGCTCATTGGATATCGCGCGTCGCATATCACGTGTCGCGTCGCAAATCGCGCTGGTTGCGAGAGCCATTAGACGTTGTGTACGTTTTGAAGTGTTTAAAGAAAAACCATGATTGATATATACAGCGCTTAAAAGCATTTATAGTATTTAACTATGGATCGCATCTATAGTTGTACGAAGCATTTTGAAAAAATAATATTTTTCGATATTAGCAGAGCAAAGATGTATAGAGGTTTAAAAATTTCATCATATATCATACGTTCAGTGTTATGAGACAGAATATTCGTACCTCTTTTTCTTTGTCCTAGATACTTTCTTGATGCCACGATCGTTGCATATGCATAAAAAAATTATCCGTCTCGCAACACTATTACAATTATACACGGTGTCTGATTCGTACCGTACCAAATCCTGATAGCACAGAGAATCCAAAAAAAATTTAGTCATATGTCACCAATTTTGAGTTTATTTTTAGATGTAAAAAAAATTCTTTTCATTGAACTGAACTCTGAAGAATTCTTTTTGTATCTGAAAATAAACTCAGAATTGATGATATACAACTGAATTTTTTAAAATATTTTTTTAATTGTGTTATCTGGGAGAGCTAATATATAGTTAAAATAGGTCAGGATGAGTAATGGAATCGGTACCTTTCATTAAACAACTACGTAAAATTTTGTGATATTAACGATAAAAGATTTGTACCGAGCGCCAGCTTAGTGGCCAATCAGCATGCGCGCTGCGGTGAGACGACGTTATATGCGTTTCGCATAGGCATGAGAGGCTAGTCAACTTTCTAGCAACGCATTGTTAGACTGGACTGGCGCTCAGTACAAATCTTTTATCGTTAATATCTCGAAATTTTACCTAGTTGTTTAAAAAAAAACACGACTTATTCTAGCTATATATTAGCTCTAGTACGGTATGAATCAGACACCCTGTATATATTTGAATACAATGACAAAACTGGCTGATGCAACTTTGAATTAGTCTGTCTACGCTTTACAAAGTCGCATCTTAGATCTATATATTTTGTCGATCATAAAAGCTTACGTTTAGGTATTATTCGAACGAATTTTCTTTATCAATATATTTCGATTGCTTTACGAATTATTTTAATCACAATATTTTCCTTTTTAATCAGCGATTTATTTTCATACGTCAAAGTATTTATCGCGTGTCAACATCATTGAGAAAATTTCCCAGTAAACACAACGTTACATGTTTACTGGGTTGCGTTTAAATATATTCGAACATCATCGAATAACAAAGAAGAAAGAAAAGCTTTTCTATTGTGTTAAACATATTCTGTACAGCAAAAAAGATATACTGTATTTTGCAGGAAAACATAAAGAGAAAAAAGCCAAATACGGAACAATTTCCAGACATTTCGTGAGGAAATATATGTTTCCGGAGCAATGTGATATGGAAAAAATAACGAGTAACCTTTCATCGGACGGCGTCCTGACAATCAATATGCCGAAAAAGCTGGAAACTGTAGACGACAAGAAAGAAAGAGTCATTAATATCAAGCATACTGGGAAGCCAGCAGTGGAGGATGAAGCAGAAATAGAAGATGCACGGAGATAAAAGAAATAATTTGTAGAGAATACTGTAGAGAATATTGTAGAGCATATTGTTTGAACGATATTATTGATATATGTGAAATATGTAGAAATAGTGTACAGTAAGTCGCAAAACGATTTAGACACAATCAGCTTCAGAGCGTACCCCGATAGCACAGAGAAAATTTAAAAAGAATTCAATCGTATGTCACCAATTCTGAGTTCATTTTTTGATGCGAAAAAAATTCTTTTCATTGAATTGAACTTTGGAGAATTCTTTTTGCATTTGAAAATTAACTCAGAATTGGTGACATACGCGACTGAATTTTTTTTGAATTCTTTATGTTATCTGGGTAATCAATGGTCCGATGAGAGAAATTATTTTTTAATAGTTTGTTCTCTTATTGGATCATTGACTACGTTCTGAAGTTCATTGTGTCTAAACCGTTTTGCGACCTACTGTGTACATCAGAGCTCGGAATTAGTTAGCCATTTCGGCCGATTCTCGGGAGCTACGCTTTCTACCTTCCCTTTGCCGTGAGCGGGCCACGAAAGTGATGGTCGCGCATATATATAATACTAATATATGACGCGTAGAGCTCTCAGCGATACCACAACACTACGGTGCAGACAATGCTCGTCTGTCTTTTTCTGTATCAATATCAGTGTTCTGCTAAGTAAACGTTTGCATGCGTAACGTTTACCCTTCCATCATTGTCTAAGCCAATATGATTAGACCTGACGCCTTACCGAAACTAACCTCATACATACACGGTTAGAAGATAGTTTCCCGAAAAGTGGAGGGGATAATGTTGATACCAAAGGAAATCTCTACACGATAATTTAAAGATTCTGTTCTTTATAACTGCACAGCTAAATTGGTGCAATAAATTGAAATGAGGCAATTATACGTTTTCATACTTTAACCTTTTGCATTAGTTCAGCAGTGCAGTTACAAAAAACAGATCTTTAAATTATATCGTGTAGAGATTTCTCTTGGTACCAACATTATCCCCTCCACTTTTTGGGAAACTGTCGCCTAACCTACACACACACAACATTATAGACGCTTTCCATATTTATTTTTCTTATTTATTATCAATTACTCAGTTTCTTTAATATATTTCCAGTAAGAAATGACTTGTCGATCGAAGTCGAAAAGACGTCGCTATGTTTACATAATGTATGTTTATATTTTGTCGTCACGCTTGCGCATTGTGATCATAGAATACTCTTTTCTAGTGAGCCAATTATCATCCATCTTCTATCCTTCAGTCTTCTTTCACTCTCTCTTATAGCAAAAATTCCTCTACGCGCCATATAGGAGTATTATATATAAAGGGACGTCTACATTGGAAGTAAACAGTAAGAAGTAGGAAGTAAGAGTAAGAAATTGACCAACCACAGTCGAATGTGAGAAGAATAATCAACTATGATTGGTCAATTTCTTATTCTTACTTCCTACTTCTTACTGCTTAAGACCTTCACACACACTTTCCGTAACAGTAACCGTAAGACGTAACGTAAGAATTGACCAATCACGTTGAAAATCGTCGAAACATAAGGTCGCCATTTTTGTGAATACTCCATCGTAATTGGTCAATTCTTACGTTACGTCTTACGGTTACTGTTACGGAAAGTGTGTGTGAAGGCCTTTACTTCCAATGTAGACGTCCCTATATGCGGTCGCGCCTCCAAACTTGAAGCCGCGACTGGCCGCGATCTTCACTTTTTTGGCCCGCTCGCGGCAAAGGAAAGATAGAAGACGTAGCTTCCGAGAATCAGCCGAAATCAGCAATTAATTCCGAGCTCTGATATACATCATTGTGTATATTTGTATATGTTTATAAGTATCGGAAAAGTATAGAAAAGAGAGCACATTTTTCATTAGTCGCGAATTTATGATGCTTTTTATTTACTAGTAGGGTCAAAGTATTATATAGTGTGTACTTAAATATATTTAGTATTATAAAGTGTATACTTAACTATATTTAATAAACTTTTCTGTTGTATACAATTGATTCGTACTACGCACAAAAATTGAAATATAACCTTTATCAATCACGATATATAAGCAAATTTTAACGAACTGTAACTTTCATAAAAATGATAATGTTGTGATATTCAAAAGTATTTCACAGCTTCAAGAATATAGTTTCTGTTATTTTTACAGTAATATCTCTAGATATGCATTTCACTTATATTTTTACCCGCGCTACACGAATATAAACCAAAAGTTTAATAACATAGAAATTTATTGTTATCACGGTAAGAATACATGGATGGAGCATATTGTCGCGGAGGTGAAACCCAAGAGATGAGGGGAATGATTGTATGTATTGTAATGGAGTTAATATACCAAAGTTGCGTTCGGAAACGTTATCCAAGTGTACCCGTTACGTTGGAGTGAGCGACATATAAGAGTGAGATAAAAAAAGAGGAAGAGTTACTCGAGTAACGTTTCCAAACGCAGCCCAAGATGGCGATGGTTGTTTTTTTTCACCCTAACAGTGAAATTAAATAGTGCGTATAGAACTGCGGAATAGAAAATGCGTCATAGAAGCAACCAATCAGCGCTATTCCTCTCTTTTCTAGCACTTTTGTGTGCTATGTTTATATGTGTATTATGTGAATATGTTGTATTATGTGAATAACGCAATCAGGATTCTCCTTTCAATGTCACAATGCACTAATGTTATATGATATTTGTCATTTGACACATACACACGCATATGTCAAAACAACTCTGCAAAATTCATGGATTTACTACTTCACAGTGTCACTAATTCGCAAAAATTAAAATTTGGTCTGTTCTTTTTAGCTACACTGTTGAACTGGTGCAATAAGTTAAAGTGAGACAAATATAGTTTTCTCACTCAACTTATTGCACCAGTTCAGCAGTGCAGCTAAAAAGAACAGACCAATTGTGTTGCTTAGGGGTTTTCGTTGGTACCAACATTTTTCCATCTAGTTTCCGGGAAAATGTCGTGTAACCCGACAATCAGCGCGAATCGATTCATATGTCGCTAATATCGCGATACGACGAGCGCGAAACGTGTTCCCAGCTCTCTCTATCTTTTTCCTTCTCTCTCCCAGAGAGAGCGATATCTGTTTGTTTCGTGTTATCATCCGAGCGCGTCCTTGCGCGATCGCGCGGTGCCAACGTCTCGCGATGTCGGAAATTTTGTCTGTCACGCAGGTCCTATCGTTCTTTGTTGCTCGTCGCTACTCGTTATTCGACCATTTGGCAGGTTACTCGCGGTTTCTCGCATATAGGATGAGTTGCGCGATTTAGCTCTTCTAGAATCGCGTCGGGTAGACAAAGATTTTGAGTGACCGTTGCCCAAGGACGGAGAAGATATACCGTGTCGCGACCGTATCGGTCTTTTTATTTTGACACGCAATAAACACACGGTTACCACCGTGTGCAATTTCGCAAACGTAGACGCAGCCATTGCTTATTGGGCTTAGATATACGCACGACTCGCAACGGAATGGTCACGCGAGAAAATACACGTCTAATTCCAGATCCGAGTGCGTGGAGCATTTGAACCAAAGGTAGTCGAGTAATTTCGTATTATCTTGTACCCATTTTGGCCACACAAAATTCACTGATCATGAGTTGCGTGCGTTGCTGCTTGATTAGTGCAAGTCGCTTGGCATCTTCTAATCATATCAACAATCATGGTGGGTATGGTGTTGCAAATAATTCTCACATTATGTCTTATCTCTGTAATCTGACAACAATATGGTAGCTACAAATGTCATCTACAAGGACAATGGCGCAATAAGAGATTATTTTTTCCAACTGTGCAGTACATAAAATTATAAGAATTGTGGCTACTAGAACTCTGACAACCAGTGGCAGCTTAGGAAAAACTCCAACCGAACCTACACCACCTTCCAAGGATACATATACCACATCTGGTGGATCTTCTAGTGGCACTGGTGGTGGAAAGAAAAGTACATTAACCTGTCCTAAATGTGGAGATCCTTGTACACATGTAGAAACATTTGTATGTAAGTAGAATATTAAATTTATCATTAAATCATAGTTCAAAGTCAATTCTATTAAAATGAGTAGAATTGTCAAAGTTAATAAAATTGCTTTCATTCAAGTATATATTGACATCTTACATAGCATCTTTATATAATACAGCCTCTACAAGATTTGTTAAGTGTGAGAAATGTCATCATTTCTTCGTTGTCCTCTCGGATACTGATTCAAAGAGGAGTTTAAAAGAACCACTAAGGCCAGAAGATGGTAAGCAAGGAGGATACAGAAAGCCACCTCCTCCTCCAAAAAAGGTGATTATTTTGAGATTTTAATTTATAATTTTTTTTAGACAATATTAACTTATTTGTTTTAGTTAAGCACAGGAAAAAACTGCAATAATATAAAAATATTTTCAGATATTTGAGTATCTGAATAAACATGTTGTGGGACAAGAATATGCTAAGAAAGTGCTAAGTGTTGCTGTTTATAACCATTATAAACGAATTTATAATAACTTGCCAATACAAAATTTAGTACAAACCAGTACTCATACAGTTGGCACACAGGAAACAAATCATCCCTTCACTCATAGAGGTCTCAAACCACGTAAATAGCTACTTCCCAATGATATAATGTTATATAGTATTTTAGTATTATGATATAATGCATGTTTATTTCCATATTTTTAATATAGTAATAATGATTGAAAACAATCTGCAAATTAAAGTAGTAATTTCACATAGTTTGCTATCCTCCCAGATTCGCTATTGATAAAGTATTGCATGAACTTGTTGTAAAATTATTTTATCTTCAGATTTACTACATATTTCGGGTGTTGGAAATCCACTGGGAGTTGGATATCAACATGTTAATGTAGGAAGTGAACACAAATCATCAGGCAGTCAGTCTGTCCCTGGGTCAGATATCTTAGATAGCAAGCAGCATCAATTGAAACTAGAGAAAAGTAACATATTGTTACTTGGTCCTACAGGCAGTGGAAAAACATTACTTGCGCAGACAATAGCGCAATGTTTAGATGTCCCATTTGCTATCTGTGATTGCACTACTTTGACGCAGGCTGGCTATGTTGGCGAAGACATAGAAAGTGTTATAGCTAAACTCCTTCAAGATGCTAATTATGTAGTAGATCGAGCTCAAATGGGGATTGTTTTTCTGGATGAAGTCGATAAAATAGGAGCTGTTCCCGGAATCCATCAATTACGAGATGTTGGTGGAGAAGGAGTACAACAAGGAATGTTAAAGATGTTGGAAGGAACGATTGTAAATGTACCAGAAAGGAATAGTTCCAGAAAGCTTCGCGGAGAAACGTTACAGGTGGACACGACAAATATACTTTTTGTCGCATCGGGAGCTTACAATGGTTTAGACAGGCTTATTTCACGGCGTAAAACTGAAAAATATCTTGGATTTGGCGCGAAACCCGCGGCTGAAAGTCCAGGTAGACGAGCTGCAACTTTAGCTGATGTTGCCAATATGTCGCCCTCTACCGAGAAGGATAATAAGGAAAAGGATATGTTACTGCAACAAGTAGAGGCTAGAGATCTCATTGATTTTGGCATGATACCAGAATTTGTTGGCAGATTTCCTGTGCTTGTGCCTTTTCATACACTTGACAGAGACATGCTAGTAAGAATTCTTACAGAGCCAAAAAATGCCATCGTTCCTCAATTTCAAATGTTGTTTTCAATGGACAAGGTATACTTAATGATGCTATTTTTGCTACAGTATTAGACAACCTATCATTTTTCTACATTCAATCAATAACTTAATATATTTAATTTTTTTTAGGTGGAGCTAACATTCGATATTAACGCATTGAACGCAATCGCCTCTTTAGCAATGGAAAGAAAAACGGGAGCACGAGGTTTACGTGCGATTATGGAATCGTTACTTTTAGATCCTATGTTTGAAGTACCAGGAAGTGATGTGATGTCAGTTCATATAACAGAACAATGTGTAAAAGGTCATGAAAAACCCCAGTATGTGAGACGAGGTGATAGCAATGAAGATGAACTTCAAGCACAGCATGTACATAGTTAACAAATAACTAAAGAATGTAAAACTTTGGTATAATTATTTCTTTAACAATAGATAGACCATGTTTGAGAAAGAAATTAAATTAGAACATTTGTAAACTGTTATTTCAATTATTTTATAGAAAATATTATATATTTTCGCGTATATACATAATTGTCTTATATATGAAAAAATAGTATGAACAACGCATACATATATACATCTTTCAAACTATCCTGCATATTCTTTAATCTTTATACAAACATCTTTGTTCAAATTTAAATCATTTCTTTAAGTTTATTACTTTAATGTTTTTGGTATACACGAATGCAAGTCAAGAATGCAACCATAATTAAATATATATCATTTAATATTAAAAAGAAAAGACATGCACATATATATATATATGTGTATATGTATATGTATACACGCGTATTTGCGTGTAATTTTTGGCTGTTTTATGATAAAAATATAAATACCTTAACAACAACCGAAAATGAGAGAATGCTATATTATATTATTAAGATTATCATGTATCCCGTGTATATTAAATATCTCTTTAAATATTAAATATCTTTTTCAAAAGATAATATTCTAACGTTCAGGTGAAGAATATGTACAAATTTAATCTTACTTGATACTAAAAGAATGTGAATAAATTTTACATTATTTAAATCATCCTAAGCATTTATCAATAATAATAATGGGAGTAAAAAATATTTTAATATTTGTTTATATTAATACATTATGCAGTAAATAATTTATGAGACCATCAAGTTTTATTTGATGAAACTAGGTACATATTAGACATAATAAAACAAAATTACATTGTGGGAAAATGTATAAAAGAAAAAAAATGTGGATATAGAAATACTACCAAAATCTAAATATATATAATTATGTTATAAAAAGTTATATGATAGTATTTCAATGTAACCACTTAAAATAAATTTTCATATATTCTCACACACATGCGAGGATTGTTTGTAAAGTATTATTATTACGCGTTGTTGATCAAAAATATAAATAATTCTTGTAGCTTGGTAATACTATTAAAGAGAAAAAGATACAAAAAAATTATATTGGTATGTTTGTACATATATATGTATACATATATGTACATATATGTGTGTACATTATATATGAACATATACGTGTGTGCGTGTGTGTATGTGTACACACACACACACACATATACGGAGTGTCCGATTTTAACTTAGATACTGTAATGTCTTGAAAATAATGCATTTTCAGAAAGTGTTTTCAATAATAATTATAGGATATCGAGGACAAAAAGATAATATTTTTTCCGATTTTGAAAAAAACCCATTCAGATCAATTTTATATATGTATCTTTTTTTAAATGGATTTTATATATATAATTCTATATATTTTTTTATAGTTTTTTAAATATAAATAAATTTCTCTAGTCATTCTACGTAAAAAAAAATCATGAAAAAATTAATATTTCCCAAAATATTTCACATTTTATCCTGTGTTATTTTTCAATATAAAATATAAATTTTTTATTTTTAAACTACCTTATTCAAATACTTTTGTGAAAAGGAGGAAAAATCGATCGGTGATACTAATCTTTGTATACTAGTGCATTAATAATCAAATCTGCAAAATACATGGAATTGTGTTTAAAATGTTTGTATGTTTTTTGCAATAATCGATTTTATCCATTATTCTGCGATTTTATACATTTAATTTTTCCTATCATAAAGATATTAGGGTAAAATTATCGAAAAGTGTATACTTTAGAAGATACTTCATATTTTATGCTGAAAAGTATCGGAATAAATGGAAGATATCTCGAGAAGTATTTACTTTTAAATGATTTTATTTTTTTGTACATATAATAGTCAAAAGATTTTACTTATATCCAAAAAACTATGTGCTTTCATTTAAAAAATTAGAATTGACTTTGACACAGGTTATTTTCACAGTCATTTCAAGATTAAAAAAATATTACTATCTTTTTTTTCCTCTATATTTTTTTGTTAAAACACTCTTTTTGAAAATGCATTATTTTCGAGATATTAGTGTCTAAATTAAAATAGGACTATACATATGTATATACATATATACACACACACACACAAAGTAAAAATATTAACTGCAACAGACCAAGGAAATGAACGTTTAAACGATAATTATTTTTATGCCAAAATATCATTGAGATGAAAGTTCTATATGTATATTGTATATAATATATACTCGAGAGATCAATGGGGAAAAAAGAAAATGTAAATAATATATCTCATAATTACCCGCCAATTTTTTTAAAGTATCAACTATAATATATATCCATATTAAATCAATTTACTTAGTAACACTACGAAAGGAAAAAAGGCTGTGTAAAATATAACATGAAGCTTGACTTGAAGGCTTACAAAATTTCTCTCTTAAATTTTCATATTGTAAAATCTTATGATTTATACATAAAATAATCCTATATTTTTTATAATAAAAGGTTTTGCAAAACTATATACTTAATTTATTTACTTCACAAACAATTTACAATATGTGTTTGTCTTGTGTCTCTAATATAGTATTCTAAGAAATCTCATCAATTTGCATATTTTGTTGTATATTAATTACATGAAAATAGTAACTCTATATTATACAAAATTACATATCTACAGATACTATCCACATTCTATAAATTCGGGATACCGTATATTTTAAGAATACTTAAGCCGAATCTGGTGTTTTTATTTACTTTATATTGAATGTAAAACGTACAATACAAAATTTACACAATTAATACTCAAACGTACGTGATAAAAAAATATTTATCATCAGCAATAGTATGAAAAGAATTATGAAAATTCTTTTTGCTGAGAAATTCTTACTTTATATTAATAGTAGGGTAAAACATTTTCACTATCCATTCAATCTTTTGTTGCATATTACCACAAATTTAATTTTATATATATATATATATATGTATGTATATATTACACAGCATATATATGTGTGTATACAATTGAATAATAAATAATTTCATATATCTCACATTTTATTACAGGAATAGTGCTTCCTTTATATCTCATCATAAAATGCAGGTTTTTGTTGCTTCACTGATTTAGGTTTCGGTATTAATAGTGTGCTTAATTCTGTTAAGAGCCATTTTGTTGTACGCAATACTACGACATGTACAGCAAATTGTAAAAGAAGAGCACCGAATCCTTTATAAAGACCAAGCGGTCCTTCAGTTGATATTATTGTATGATAACAATCAGATGCGCTGCTATATCCTGTCAATAATGGTGTAACACTTCTTCCAGTATCTAAATTATCAATAATAGTGCGTGTACCTTGAAGATGCAGTCGATGAATAACAGTTTCAAGTGGATAAAACAAAATATCAGCGGCACACATCGAAACAAGTATGGACTGCATTTCTATATCTTGAACAACACTTTCAGACAATAAATCTTTGCTGTATGCACCCTAAAATAACATAATGATGTTTTAAGTATATTATTATATCTACTTTTATATATATATATTTTGCTCTATGATATATTTAAAAAAAAAGTCAAATATGTATACATACCCTTGCTTCCTGTATATGCTTATATCTAATGTGCATTATTCGACTAGCAACTCCTCTTATAGTAAGAGTGAAAAGATATTTTGATACTCCATAAATTATAGTAGGTGGCACAAGAGCATAGATAGGGATGAGTCTGCCCTTATTGCAGACATCGAGCAAACGAATTGCACCATCTCGGAATACATCCAAAATTCCAGGACATTCAGAAGCAATTTCAGACTGAACAGTCTCTACAAGGGATGCAGAATAGAAAGGAGTCACTATACCTATGGAGACACTATAAAATTGAAGACCATATATATATATAAATCTTTCATTAAAATTAATTTCTTTCAACCCATATAATATTTTGTTATAATTACCATTTGAGAAGGATATGTTGGCCAAATGCTTTTAAAGAACTATTACAAGTAACCTTCCTAAAATAAAGTGTTTAGTTTTGAGGAAAAAATTACTACAAAAATCTGCAAGAAATTAGAAAATAACAAATATATTAATGGTCACCTTACTTTGGCCATGGTGTGATCTTTGAAATTAAATCCTCAACAGCCAGTGTCATGCCTCTCACAAGTAAAACTGAGCCGATTCCCTTCCATAATGTATTTATACCTTGAGTCTGATGCAAACGTACTATTACTGGTACTAAAGTTATAGGTATTAGATGATATTTTGTTGATCCTGGGTTAACTTGACACTGTCTACGTAATACCACAAAAGGATGGATCAAAAGATTTTCTGTAATTAAGCTTACTAATCCACAACCTAGTCCTATATATTTTTTCACTTCTGAAATGTAAACATAATATGTCATGGATAAATTTAAATATAAATGTAGACTTTGATCCCAAGCAATGTGACAAGCAACGAGTGAATGAAAATATGACACGTATTTTTATAGTATTCTTATAGAAATCGAGGATATAATTTTCAACGAACTCACCATCTTCGACAACTGGTGGATTGTCTTCTGCCAAAGGATGAATAACAGGTATTTCCAGAGGACGAATAACCTCTCGAGGGTGATACTTCTGTGGATAAGGTGTTCCCATTTCCCACGATTTCGCAGGCCGACCTCTATATACGCTCTCATAGCCCTCTATTCCTGCCATTTTTCTACTCAAAACAAATCAACGACAAATTTATTTTACTAGACATTTGTATGGAAAATGTCTTCTCGTTACAATACACAGTTCATAACTTTGTAGCGGCCATAATTGCTAAGTAGTAACTGAAGACTACTTTATACGATCATATACAGGCTGCGTTCCGAAATAGTACTGACAGTACTGACAGTACTGATATTGAAACCAGCATATTTATCGTCCCAAAATTGTCAGTAAATAGCAACAACATGGGAAAATGGAACGTATTTGCAGTATCGTGCAGTGGCTAGCAGAAAGAATATAATTTATACAATCTATAAAGAGGCAAAGAACAAATTTTTATAATTATAAATAAGTTAGCAATTTTACTTGGTGCACAAAGTATGATGCATTTTTTTGAAAATAATAAAAGTTTATTATTAGAAAACAACAAAAATATTACAGATATTTTTAAATTAATAACTGAACGAGGAGACCTAGTATTAAGATCACGTGTAAAAAATTATGTTGAAAATATAGTCGCTTTCCTTTCAAGTGAAGGCTTTAAGAACACTTTAGGTAAGATAATTACCTATAAAGTAATAAATGTGATTAAAATCCGTAATCTTTAACATCATAATTAAAATAAAAATTATTTAAATATCTTCTTTTTCGCAGAATATGACGTTTCTCATACTTCTCTATTAAGATAGACAGACGCCATATGCATTAAGACCTTTGCACGTAAAAAAGCGTTAACTTTACTATAACTTTAATTTCGTAGTCGTAAAATCTATTGTCCATTCTTAATACATACGTACGCATGCGCACGAAACTCGTAATTTAAAAAGCAGAGGTTAAAATATCATACATGCTTATATCCATAATTTATATTATTATTTACCCATAACCATTATTCAATCTCGCAAGAATAGTCTTTTCTAATAATCTATTAAATATTGACTCTTTCATTAAATAAGAAAATTAATAATTGAAACTAACGGTATTGAAATTTACAAACTTTTTGTTCGGATGACCAACATTTCCCAGCAGAAATGTCTCGAATACATCATAAGGATATTATAAAGATATCTCAATATCTGTAGGATATTACTATATTCAGGACATTTCTGCTGTGTGGGTTAATTCTTCAGATACATTATTTTGAGATTTACTGCGGAATCGCAATGGAACATTCCTGAAGATACTACAACATAATTATTAGGGTAATTATTATATCATTAATATAATTAATTTTTTGTTACTTATATCTCCTTTTCTGGATATGCTTCTTCATGAATTTTAAGCTTTTAAATAATGGGCACTGTTTTTTTTGTTGTATGCCATTGCCACTGCGCATGGTATTTTCATTCAATTTTCTTTCTTTGATATATCTATCATTTAATCTTTTCCACCTCTGCTGTACTTCACAGACTACGAAATATTTAATATTATTTTCAGATTTATTATTATTTTAATGTTAGATTTGATTTTAATGTTTGATTATTTTAAGATTATAGTTACATTTCTACATGCAAAAACATTTTAATTACATCCCAGCAAACAAGATGACGTCAAATGACGATACCTGACACGTCTTTGCAATTTCTTCCCAGGATTTCTCCTTCATTCCTAACAGCACAGATGTCCAGGGGACATCCAAAGTACATCCTAAGGAAGTCTTGAGGACATTTCTTCGTTTTTAGGACGTCCTCAGGAGATCTTATGCTGTCTGGGATTACATGATCTTTGTAATTTTTATCGTTCCTGTTATATAAATAAGTATAACTTTGGACACAAGAGATGATAAGTTCATCAAGTGTAACAACAAATTCACCAACATCATCGATACTTTCTTCAGCCAGTTTTGATTCAAATGTACAGGAAAAATTGTCCGGATACATGTGATCATCATCAGTCATCTCCAATATTATTTTTGCACAAGTTGCCAGACTAATTCCTTCCTTTTATTCTTTGATGACGAAAATTTTACAACTAAAGTTACGATTTTAAAATTACGGTCTTAAAATTACGATTACAGAATTTTACTTGTATTAGTCCATTTGATTGTCCGTGTTGGAAACTGCTACTAAAATTACGGTTCCGGTTAATGCTTTTTTATATGTAAAAGTCTTTACTGAATTTGCACTACCTCGAAGCAATGTGCGGAATTAATCGGAAATGAGCAATTCTTTAGAGTCTATTCTCGTAAAAAAAATAGTAAGTTTCGCTATCTTACAACATACTGAAAATAATTTCGAGGCGCGAAAACAGTACAACATTGTCAGCGCATTCGGAACGCAGCGACCATAATTGCTGAGTGGTAACTGAAGACCACTTTATACAATCATATACAAAAAAACTTCATATACTGCCTACAATATATAGTCGGTATTGTGCCAGCATTCTTGTGAAGATTGCAATACTTTTCAGTTTGATGAGTTCTAAAAGAAGTGAAAAGAGATAATTGTTCTTATGATCTTCATTTATATTTTAAAACATATCAAAAAGAAATGTAACTCTTTTCCCGCTAGTTACATGTAACATGTAACTAGTAACATGTAACATGTAACATATAACTGTATAAAGGTAAAGATGTAAAGTGATTAGAAGACACAGTATATATTTTTATATTTCCTTGTTTGACTTACGGATAAGATTTATAATTCGTTGTATACAGAATTTCAATTTACATATTTATGTACATTATTACATACGTGTGCATAGTATTCGTTGCTTTATCCGATACAAAATCATAATAGTATTTTGCATTACATACTTTTCGGTTAAACCCTTTATTAAACTATCCAATAAATCGAAAATTTCACATCTCATAATAATATATTAAATTAATTTTGTCAATAACAGATATATTAATATTTGGAATCTATATAAATGGAAGTATTTTTATACACTCTGCTCAAAAGATTTGATAGAATTAGACAATCGTATTTTTGGAAAAAATGATAAAATTACATAGAAAGGCATATGCATTCAGATAACTATTCAATTGTTAATAGTGTAGATTATACAATCGTTCAAAGTAAATTACAATATAAAATGAAAGAAATTGATAATTTTTTTTTATATGAACTTTTTATATGAAAAAGATCACATAGTATTCCAAGAAAAGAGTGCGGTCAAGTGTTAATAAGCTACTGGTCTAGATTCATAGCTAAAAAGTTTTGAAATAATTTTGGGTTTAAAATAAAGTTTACGATGCGTAGATTACAAATATGCACCAAAGTTGAACCTTCTTGGTCCATGAAAAATTCAATTTCCACGAGATGTTCTCGAATCTCGAAACGCACACTTGCGCAGAAACTGTCTCAGACTCACGGGTTAGAATCTGAAATCTCGATCCTCTCTCTTTTTATGAAAAAATTTATAACTAAATACTGATTGATAGTAGTGTGACAAGTGACAAATCTAGTCGAAATGTGATTGTCATGTAATAAGTGCAATAATCGCGGTTGTAGTTCACCACGAAGAGCACTGACGTTATTTCGTGGAAGTGGAATTTTCAATGGGTCATATCTGTGGAAAACCTAAAGTCCGACTATTTAGTACTTGAATATTTGTAATCTACGCGCAAATAAATTTTATTTTAAACCCAAAATGGTTTAAAAATTTTTTGACCATGAATCTGGACCACTCCTGGCCGTACTGTTTGTATATATTTCTATGAATCCTTCTTGAACTTTTTAAGCAGCGTAGACTTATTTTAAAATTATTCATTTATTTACCATAAGCATGATAAAGTGTGCTGAAATCTTTGAGAATTATATTCCTTAGGAAGACATTATTTTAAGGATCAATTACACAGAAAATACATTTTCTTAAAAAAGTTTTTCTCAGATTTCAACATCTTTATAGAGATTGTGCAATTAAAACATAAATTTATGATATACAGAATTTATGATATGATCAGATACAGTTCCTACCTCAAATATGGCGTTGTTAACAAAATATAGGAGACAATTTTAATTTTCTCTTATTTTGACGTAGTTAATTGGATCATAGTCTTTCACAATCGCCCTCCGTGATCAGAAAAATTTATTTATTCAACAAATAAAAAGTTGATTTAATCAATAGTTCAATTAAAATAAAATAGTATCTCTGAGGATTACATGCGACCGTAATTAACGCAATTTTTCTAATTCGACCGGCGAAGGATTAAAATTACGATATAAAATCGTCTGATATTTAAATAATTATATAATTTTACGTTCATATAAAATTGCACTCAATGTTCATATAACAATACAACATTCACAAAATAATTAAACTATTATCAATAAAACATTACTAAAATATATGCACGCGGTAATTATTTACAAGAGGTCAATTACTTTCACTATGATATATCCCAGACAGCTAAATCTGCAGAAGCAGATTTTATGCAATCTGTTGTAAATTTTGTCTGCAATTTACGAGTAGAATATAACAAGATGCAATTTACGAGTAGATATAACAATCTGCTAGCAAATTATAATGACAGGTTGACAATAGAAACCGAATAAGATCTATGGTTCTGTAACTAGTTGAATGTATTTCAGTGATATATACTGTAGATTTTGCTTGATTACTGCTGCTAATTTGCTATCAAGTTATTTTAGCAAGCTTTATCGATAGAACACGAGCTTAATGTGAATATAGACTTGCCACAGTAATCTAATCGAATTTTCTACTAATCTGCTAGCATTTTACTTATTGACGTATACTATAGAACGTGGAATCATGCCTGCGTCATTTGTCATCACGTTGAATTATGTAGGGATTACATGTAATTACTGAGAATGTCTGGCACAACGTATAAATTCGTTTACGTAAAACTGATTGAATTAAACAAAAAAAGTATCATTTTATTACACACATATATTAGAAACTATATTATAAATTATAAATTATATTAAAAATAATATTATAAAAATATTTTGAGATATTAAGAGAAAATTAGCAAATAAATGTGCGTGGAATAAATTCTTTAAGCAAAGTTTTATCCAAAATGATTCAAACACTCGGCTCATCGCGCGTCCTTTAGTTCAAACTAAGCGAGAACTGCTGCTTGAGAGGCGAGGACAATCCACATATGAAAAAAAAAAGAAATATATGAAGAAAAAGAAGGTTCCCTCTATAGCTCTAAAATAACTGAGTAATGTAAGTCCATTAATTTGTATGTATTATTATGAAAAATGTTTGATAAAACTTTAAACGCGTTTTTCTTGAAATTGCGCGTTTTCGAGTATAATGACTACAATTAAAAAAAAAACTCTGATCTTACGATTTTACACTTATATTCAATAAACATATCATTGTTTGAACCACGATCAATAACCTAGATTGATTTTTCATATTTTCCTGAGATCGACATAAGGGAAAAGACGAGTAAAATAAAATTTTTATTCAAATTGCCACCATATTGAAAATATGCATGTGATATCAATTATACTGCTTCAGACAGAAATTACAAGTTCCCTTATCAAGAAAATCGTGCAATTTTTGTTTTTTCAGACTCACTGTAAGATTTCTAGGATAGTAATCGTTTGACTGTGTTCGCGATGCAGGCCTAATTTTTCCGCCATATTATACTAACCATTGGAAAGCAACATGAGATATAAAATATTTTTTGTAATATATTTTTAATGTACTTTTAGAAAATATATATTTGTTAATTATATCTGCATTTTTATTCATGAAAAAATTTACAAAACCTTTGAATCCGGTTTACAAGAAAATTCTCTTAAGTGATGTAATTTTATATATGATTTATGTCCTGTGTTTTTATTATTGTTATGCTTTAAAAATAATGTGTTCTTCTTTATTGTTTATATGGAATATTGAATAATGCAACTTCTCATAAATAATTATCACACGTGGTTTAAAAATAAAAGTGCAGCATACACTTATCTGATGTAAGTACATGTTTTAAATATATTTGGACCCTGTGTTTTCCATCTTCGTAAGTTTTAATATTCTACTATTCGCATCTCATTAAATTTTTTTCTTGAACATTGAACACAATTAATTAAATCTTTATCAATTCAATTAATTTACCATATACATTGCAACAAACTATATATTGTACAAAAACTCGCTATCACGTCTGTTGTGGTATTTTATCATGCCACTCTCGTTCAGGCCGAATAAACTCCAAATCGCTGCCATCTTCGGAACTATTATCATCATCATAGTATGGTTTTGTAACTTCACTATCGTTCGTGGAGTATCCTAAAACGAGTATTAGGTTAGATATTAGATTAAAATAGAAATTAGTATTCGTATACTAAACATTATAGGCGCATATTTATATATATTTCTATAAGTTTCTAAAATCTTAAATCTTTTTTTCTTAATATTTTTTGTCATCAGTCATCGCGTGTTAATATATCATTAATGTCTCATTTTTTAGCATTACAATACAAATATCTACCATCCACTGGTCTTCGAAATATTTCAACTTCCTTCTCGTCATCATCGAAGAAACTGGTACCGTCTTTCAATAGACTAAACGCGTATCCCTTTCTACTCTTTTCGGAACTTTCCGATGATTGATATTTCATGCAAATATATATGCCGCATAAGACAATACCAAAACATATTGTACCTGCAATCATATTATATATCATATATAACGAATTTATTTCAATGACTAAGCAATAATTTTTTTCGCTTCATAAACTATGTCCTTTGAATATCGATTTTATAATATTTACAACCGACTTATGTACCTGTCAACATAATAAATACTAGTCGAGGCATTCCCATAATATTGTCGTCACGACTAAGCTTGAACATCAGTCTGGAAAATTTCTTTGCGTCGGATGTGGAAACGAGTTTTGTCTGTTTAATATAACCAGCTGCCGTGACTGTTATATTATGACTTCCTGGCCGCAGTAGAATTGAGTAAGCGCCTACTCTTCCATTTTTAACAAAATGCGGTGACTTGTCATAAGATAAAATAACATTCTCAACCGGCTCGTCATTTTCATCAGTAATATAGCCTTTCACGCCTATGCTTATTTCTTCTATGCAAGCTAATAAACTATCTTTGTTCTCTTGCCACATGACAACCGAGTTGTCTGTAGTACAACAAGTAATATATACATCCATCATTAGGGTGCTCGTATTAAAATAGGCATAATCCATCAAAGGATTACCTCTTTTTCCACTAATTCCTACTCCTGCGTGTATCACGCTATTGTCATTAATATTCATATTTTGCTTACATTTGGAGCTTGTAGATAATTTGTTTGCCCTCTTGTTTACATATACTCGTGCTAAATGTTGCAATAAATCCTCGTCGGCGCTTTTATATATTTCGTCTGTCTTCCCGTAGCTGTTCCCGAGTGGAATTTCAACGTGTCGTGAACCACTATTGAGATTTACGGCCAATACCGCATTAATGTCTTTAAACCAATTCGTAATCATAGTCGCCTCGTTATCGAGTTTATTGTGAATCGAAAACTGCAAGCCTTCCAATGGTGGTAAGCAAGTGTGATTCTCATCGGAATCAGGGACAAAGTCCGGTGCTATATATATAGAGAAATTATCTACATAACTCATAACTTCAATATTTTGTTTATAACTGTCCAAGAGAAACGAGGCAAAATGTAAAAGTACTTCAGACGTTACTGTTTCACTCCGTAGCATGCCGGCTGAGAATATAATGGCAGGTCGCCCTATTCGTTTCTGATCATTGTCGGAACCAATTTCCAAACACATTATTTTGCTACCTTTTGTGCTTTCACCGATAGTGTGTAGAGTCGTTTGTTGTGGATATTTCACATTTAGGTCGCTTAAAGCACGATTTATAACGCTTATTCTGTCGTCATTCTGTGTTGTATTCTTTTGTATCATTTTAATATTAATGTCTGTTATGCTCTCCTGTTTTACATGAACTTTTAATACTTGTACACTGTATCCTTTGCAGGAGACCGTTAACGTATAATTACCAGGCACAAGTATCATCTTGAAATAAGCCATGTTGCTTGACACTTTGTAACTTTCTTCTCCTACTTTGACGGTGGCCTCTCGAAGTGGCACATTGTGCTCATCTGTTACTGTTGCGCGAATACCGCTCGTGAGGCTTTGTACGAGTTTCATCAGCGGTTGCAGATTCTCACGCCAAATGATAGGAATGGAGTCCGCAGGCGGATATTTACAAGAGGACAAACTTAAGCTTATCTACAAATAGGCGATTATATTTAAAATATGTATTTAGTAATATCATAAATAAATAGAGAAAATATTAAGAAAATTTATATAGCTACCACTGGTAAGTTATATACGCGCTGTATAAAATTTGTTAAACGTTGTGTACTATTGCTTGTATAACTGCCTATTTCTTTGTGTCTCGAATGCTCATAATCTTCAGCGAGTGTTTTAAATATACCCAGATCATCATACGAATAGCTGAAAAACGAAAACTAATTTATGAAACACACATATGTAAGTTTTATTTCTACAAATTATATGTTTTTGTATCTTTCTTTAAAAGAAATAAAAAAAACAAAATGCCCTGCGTTTAAAGTTTTTATAATCATATATTCATCTACATTACCCAATTTGTGAGGCTCCCCCTCCTAATATCACGGCAACATCGTAATTTTCAGTTTGCAGCATTTTCTTAAATGCATTTGTAATTGCATCTATACGTTCAGACGTATTGCTTTCCAATAATAATTTTTCTCCTACTTCATCTTTTACTATAGGATTGCAATCTTTGATTTCTCTTATGTTATCAAATCCTGGATCAACACCGGGAATAAAATGCAATATAGCGTTATCCAGTATTCGTTGGATAGGTGGATTTCCAATCTGATTCCCCATAAGGATATGCGTCGCCAAACGTAACAGAATTTCTCTACCCGCCGGCTGGGAAGCAAATAATCCTCCCACCAATGCAATGCGGAATTTATTTTCATCCGGTGACCCGACCTAGAAAGCATAATTTTAAATCGCATGATCTATAGCGTGATACAGTTGCTCGATACCAAACTTACGTCATGCGTAATTTTTAATGAATGAATAGCCATGCTAATTAACGAATCACCAGCTATAAACTCCGCGATATCAGATTGATGATTCTCCAACTGACTGAATCTAGCACTCAACTGTGAATTCTTTAAATAACCATTCTGTAAATTTGCCCTTAATCTAAAATCGTACGCTGACGACCTATAATAAATATTTGTATAAAATATCAATTATTAATATTTTTAATACATTATAATTCATGCAACTACTTGAACAATTATATCTTGTTTTTCCGTCATGTTACTTGAATTATTTTTACAAGATGATTATAAGAAGCAAACATATTTCAAGAAGTACACCAGTTCACTCAAGAAATTCATTAAGGAATTGCTGCCCGGTTTTCCACCTTTTCGAAAATATTTCAATTTCGCAATATGTGCATCATTGAGCAAATATGTTTCGCATAAGTTACATTTTAAAAAAGTAATCATACCAGTGTAGAGGATCGTCACGCATCAATGTAAAATCCAACATCACTTCTCCATCCTCGATATTTTCACGGTGAAGTACATTAATAGTTTGGGTAAGTGCTTCGTATCCCACTGCACTAACAGTTATATTATATTTTCCTGGCACCAACAGTCGCCAATAATCACCTCCTTCAGCAGTATAGACATCATGCTTTATACCTTCCACGGAGATTCTCGCATGAGATATAGGAGTACCAATGGATGAACTCACTATACCATGCACACCTTTACGAGACTGTAAACCAGATATGGATATGGAAGATTATTACTCGAAGTGCGCTTCTTGTGTATTTCTATGATCGCACACTTTGACTTTCTTAATAAGTTAAGAAGCAAAAAGTTAGCAAAAAGTAAAAACTACCATTTCGATGAAACGAAGAAGAGGTTCTCTATTTTCCAACCAAAAGTTCGGCAAGTCACTCGCGTTTGGAAATTTAATGCATCCGAGTTCTAAAGTGATTTCAAAATCATTGCTGTGTAAATAATTGTAATCTTGCATGCCGCCAGAGAGAGGATACCAGGCGGCACCGTTTGTTATTCCGTCGGGGAAGCGTTCCTCAAGAAGAGTTTTTTGGCCATAGGCTTTCATCGGTGGACAAGGTTCTCCAAGATGCATACGAGGATGAGCATTGGAATATGTTAGTGCCAACATTTTGAAGACGTTGTCGTCTGGACTTAGGTTCGCTGTGTTAGTCATAGATTCTGGTCCATTGTCGTAAGGATAATTCGCAACCAATGCACCTCCATGAAGATTAGCAGAAAGCACAAACGGAACTTTTGCTATCCAATTCATCACTGCTTTGGTTTCAGGCTGCTGCTGTTGATTAAACTAAAAAAATACAGCGTAAGTATGGGCTAGTTTAATTAGTAGTTGTGTGATAATTTGAATATATCTTAATGCTATATAAACGAATATTAAGTATTAAATATGCATGCATTACAATACTGTCAACGTACATTATTAATTGCATAGTGGTCGGGAAAATTTCTATTGAGATCCACACCCTTTGCATTTGCTCTGCCCTTTATTCCATAGACGTCACCTTCTTTGGAAACCTCATATCCGTCGGGGTTCATGCTTGGTAATATATGGAGTCTGACAGTATCCACTATCCGTGTAACTCTTTCATCAGTACCATAATTCTCACAGAGATATTTTAATAGTAACAGCAGCATTTCTCTGCCTACCACTTCATTGCCATGCATATTTCCAATGTATTTTACTTCTGGCTTTTCAAGACTATGTTTTCCGGGATTCTTCGTGATTTCCATAACATATAACTCACGACCTTTTACGGAGGTTCCTATACTATAGAGTCTCGTTATATTGGCATAATTCCCATTGAGTTCTTTCAAGTATTTTTCCATTGTCACATAGTTATGATGCTTGAATTCCATGGTATGGTAAAAACCATATTTGTCATTAGTTTTTACTTCCTTAACATCAACTGCATTTTCGCCTGTGTTGTACGAATACATAATTATGATTGTGTTTACAAAAATTAAATAAAGAAAATAAAAAAATAACTGTTTAATATTATAATGAAATGTGTTTGTATATAATTACATAGATTTAAAATCAAATGTACATAATACTGAATAATACTATCAAAATTAATCTAGAAATATAACACAAGGTATAGAGAAAATAAAAATATTACTACATGTAAATTAGACATGCAGAAAAACAACATATGTAGGTATGAGTTTAAGAGGAAAAGGATAAGTACTGAAAAAGTTACTCACATTGGTCAAGACAAATGCAATTTTTTGTTTATTTCTAATTTTGAACAATACATATTTTTGTAGGGAAAATATTAGAACATATACATCACTATACAGATAAGATTATAAATATCACCCACTGACACCATTTTACGTTTATTCATCTAATTCCTAATACAATAAATTGTATTTTGGCAGTACTGTGTAATTTACACATTACATGCAAAATACAGTACACTTATTTTTCATTTTCTCGTTTTATATATTTGCGGTTGTTTTGTAAGAAATAAAGAAAAGAAAATTCCATATTGTCAACTATATAAATCTTACTTTTAAATATCATTTAGAAGATTCCATTTAAAACATATCTTCTCAGCTAATTCTGTGTTAAATATCAAAGATAAAATAATTAGGTCTTATTACAAGGAATAGTAACAAGAAGTTTGAAATACCCTTAAAAGCTTAATTTTAATGCATATTCGTATAGTAGTAAATTAATATATTAGCATTGATATTTGTTCAGTTGTCTATGTTATTTTAATAATGCAATATGTTTAATTAGCAAAAATTTTGTAAAATCAACAATAAAAAATGTATTAAAGATTAATAACGAATGTAACATGTTTACTTTTCGTTAAAGAAAAATGCATTACAGCTCATAATTTCTTAATTTGTGTATCATAAGTATATATGTAATATGTAATATGTCGAAAAAATATAAATCACAAAATATAATAATTTATATCTCTATGTAAAAATTTCAGTATGATTCAAAATATAATTAATCTATAACGTTATAGGTAATCATTATCATTGTAAAGATATGTTTGGTCAGAGTTAATCTTTGTTCGCACTGTTATTGTAATGTACTACTTTCCAATTTGCAGACAGAGCATTATTTGCAATTGCCTAAAGTATACATGTTTACATTGTTTATATGTGTTACTTTTATAGTTATACATAAAAAAATCTAAGTAAAAATAATATATAAATGATATTAAAGATAGAAGAAAGCAGTAAATAAGAGATACTAATATATGCCTTCTGCCACACAAACTGGAATATAGTTGAAATACTTTTCTTATTTAATTATGTACATAAATTGATAAAAAATGGATTAAGGTCTTTTCTCTGCCATATACAGTTAATTTCTCCATACCTTGTGTATATGTATTTGTGCAATTGCACATCTATGTATTATTCTTCGTTCACATGTAAAAAAATAAAAAAATGTCATCTCCAAATGAGTAAAATATTCTGCATCATAAATTAACAGAAATGATGTCTCAACATCCAACTCTCACAACACTAATTGTTTGCTGTAAAACAGAATAAATATAACGGAAATTCTAATATATTTAATAACATAAGAAAATAATAATTATTTAAAAATCAAATGCTTGAAATAAAATTATATGCATAAATATACAAATTCTAATATTAGATGAGAGAAAATTTAGTAACAATAGAATATATTAATTGTTATAATGAATATTCATGTTAGTCAGCAATAGTTTGTTATAATTTGCAAAAAAAAAAAATGTTAGATAAGCAATAGCCACGAGAACGACATAATTAATTAGTCGATATATGTATATATCATAATTTCATTTATCATAATCCATTAACATTTTATAGAATGTAGGATATTTGTTAAAAAGTGGTAGTATTTGTGGGTAATTTATGTCAATTTTACCTTGATCATAAGATACTTCTTCGCCGCTTAATGTAAAATTAAGAATTGTTGGTGTGTCTTTTAATACAGTAACATTTATTGTCTCACTGGGTTCATACCTAAACAAAAAAAACAAATGTTGTAATAAAGAAATAAAAATATTAAAAATAGTTTTTAATATTTGTATATTTTTAATAGTTTGGTTTAATAATATATTAGGTGAAGCGTACTTTTCTCTCTTAAAATTACTACCTTAAATAAACTATTCTTTCCAATATTTAAATTTGTGTTGTACAAAAAAATATTCTCTATACTTTTTATTTCATATGTTTAAAAAAATATCTGTCAATTTTTACTCAACAATAAATGAAATAGATGCACATAAAAGTTATATATTTGTTTATTACAATATACTAACCCCCATGCAGTAGCATGAACTGAGTAAGTTCCTGGGAGAAGTAAACGCCAATACTCGCCATCAGCTGTAGTTGTTATATTATGGTTTATTCCTTCAACAACGATGTTTGCTGCTTGAATTGGATTACCATCCTTGCTATATACAAATCCTGAAATTTAGAAACAGATACATTGTATATGTATACCATTCCGATTAATTCAAAAAGACAAACTGACATATTTCAATATTACCTTTTATTCCAATATGTACTTGTTCCAAATATTTTATCAGAGATTCTTTATTCAGTTCCCATTGATCAAGTATGGTTGAAGCAGGTGGATATTTGCAACAACTCAACTCAAATGTTATCTCAAACGCATTAGAACGAGCATAATTAAAATCTTGCATTCCACCAATTACTTCATACCTATTAAAAATTCAAAAATTTCTATTACCTGACATAGTAATCCAATTAATTTTATGGGTGATTTAATATTGTAGAATAAGTAGCAAACATCTTTTAGACTTTTCAACAATAACAATATTTAACAATTTTGTAAGCAGAATTCATGCAGATTTAATATTGATTTTTACATTATAATATGATTGTTTACCAGTATGCTCCATTTATAACACCATTTTGGAATACTTCTGGTGGACAAGCATTACCTCTATGCATTTCTGGATGATTGTCTGCATAAACATGAGCAAGATACTTGAATAAATTATCATCTGGACTTTTACTCTCTATACAGCAATCCTTAGAGATTCTGAAAAGATGAATTTCTTGACAAACAATAGATAAGGCTTCTAGAAATATAATTGGCAGAAACAAAATTATAGTATAGTATAATAAAATTATAGTAATAAAATAAATATATATTCACCCAGAATCATATGGATAACTGGCAACAACAGCACCACCATGAAGGTTACCAGAAAGTACAAAAGGTTCATTGGAAATCCAGGTCATCATAGCAACAGTTTCATTTTGACGTCCATTTAATATAAAATTGCCCCTCCTGAGCTGGCTTCTTCTATCAAATTGGTCAGGAAAATCACGATTTAAGTCGACATGGTTGGCATTTTCCCTCCCTGAAAAGTCTTTCTTGGACTCACATTTTCCTTCCTAGGATACAAAAACTTTCTAGATTAATCATTATTCATCATCATTTTCCACATCAATTAACACAATGATCTTACCAACGAATTTTCAAAACCATCTGGATTCATGGAAGGCATTAGATAAATATCAGTCTGGTTCACTAGTTTGGTGATGCGTTCGTCTTTCCCATATTCGTTCAAGAGGTATTGGCCAAGAATAATCAACAGTTGCCTGCCAACAGCCTCATCGCCATGCATATTGGCAACATATTTGACCATAGGCTCACCAGGACTGCGATGGTTGACATTCTCCGAGATTTCCAACACTATGAGGTCCCGACCCTCTACCGATTTTCCAATGGAAAATACGCGAGCCAGATGTGGGTACTTTTCGGCCAAAGAGTGGAATAATCGCTGCAATTCCTCGTAATGCGTATACGACGTGGTGACATAGTTGTGCTGCGACTCAGCGAGATCCAACGCATAACCATTTATCAGCGCGAGGACGGCGCAAACGAATATAAGAACAATACCACGTAGTTTGTTACCCATCTGTAGCTTTACTTATACAAAATACGAAATGAGAAACGCGAATAGTTACACTTTGCTAAACCTCACAGACTCATATCGCACGACTCCTCTCCTCCTACGCGTACATACATACACACACACATATATATATAGCAGTGACGCACGCCATACGTCTGCATGTCAGTCAAATATCGATGAACAGCGAGGGGCTATAGGGGAAACATCACAAAAATTTAAACGATCGTGATCATTAGTCGCTATATTGCGATCATTTCTATTTTTATCATAACATCAGACCTTACACAAGCGCCACAGACATAATTACTTTAGAATAATCGCGTATATAAATATAACGTCGAGCACTCCTCAGTGACATTATATGTTGTTTTTTATCTCTTCTCTCTTTTCTCAAATTATTATTAATATTATTAAATTCTGCTAGTATTATACCTCTTGTCCACAACCTTGCTTTAATCTTTAAGCCGTAATAAATTGACCAACCACAGTCGATTATTTTAAAAATAATCAATTGTGGTTTGTCAATTTCTTGTGGACAAGAGGATAATATTCCTTGGGCTGCATTTCAAAACATTCGTTTTGAAGAAAATTTTACTCAATGTCTATAGTTTACGTTACATAGAGTATAGAATAAAATTTCTTCAAAAAAGACGTTTCGGAATGTAACCTTGGTACTGAAACTGTCTTGAAGATACAAAAGTTATACAAGATGATATACAAGAAGATATACAAGATGTCTCACATAAGATGTCCGCAAGAAAATATAAGTAGAACAGATAAAAGTGAACAAATATTGTGAAAGTCATTTTTCAGTACTTATTATATACAGGGTATCCCGCATAAGACGTACCAAAAGAAAAATATAAATAGAATAGATAAAAGTAAACAGATATTGTAGAGTTCATTTTTCAAACAACCGTAAAATTTCGAGATATTAATTAAAATAGTTGAACAAATCAGAGCGCGCAACGTGGCAGACGGGACATACAGCTCGCCGCGGCCAGTGAAGAAAATAGACTATTTTTCGCGGGCTATCTCATAGGCCTAGAGGTGGGAATACGTCTTAAGGCCAAATCACACTAACGATTGGCAATTGAAGATTGGAACTTGACCAATTGGAACAAAGTAAGCCAAAGTTGAAGCTCGTTGATTCGTCAAGATCTAATCTTCAATCGTCAATTGCTAGTGTGATTTGGTCTTAACAATGGCGATAGATGATTGACGATTGAAGATTGGAACTTGACCAATTGGAACAAAGCAAGCCAAGGTTGAAAAATGTTGATTCGTTAAAATCTAATCTTTAATTATCAATCGTCAATCGCTAGTGTGATTTAGCCTTTAAGTCCGTATCACACTAGCAATTGGCGGTTAATGATTGACGATTGAAAATTGAAACTTGACCAATTGGAACAAAACAAATCAAGGTTGAAGCTCGTTAATTCGTCAAAATCTTCAATCGCCAATCGTCAATCGTCAATCGTTAATTGCTAGTGTGATTTGGCCTTTAGATCTGATACTGCGTGATAGACCCGCGAGCAATTTGAGTAATGGCGTTGGGGCATGAGTCACTGATACGCCTCTAGTCAAATATTGAAGGAAGGAAGGAAGGAAGGACCCGCGAGCAATCGTCCATTTTCTTCGCCGACCACGGCGAGCCATATGGCTGAGTTCCCACTGTGCGTGTCACGCGTCGTGTCGTCTGCCTGCGTCACGAGTTAATCAATCAAATCGTTCTATTGGAACAAATGCGTCATACATCGCGCGCACGTCATCCCAATTAGAGGATTTGATTGATTAACTCGTGACGCAGCAGACGACGCGATGTGTGATGGCTCCTGCACACAGGACGCGGTAATGTTTGCCGCGCGGCGGAAGTTCACGCGACAGCCAATCAATATGTTGTTTTTCCGTAAAAGCTAAAAGGTTATTACAGAAAGAAGCATATTGATTGGTTATCGCGCAAACTTTCTCCGCGCGGCAAGCATTACCGCGTCCTGGGGTGCGTTCGAAAACACTGAAAGTCCACGACTGAAAGTGGTGGATGGGCTTGGTGGGGTTAGTGGAGTTGGTATCGAGAGGAGTTTTCGAACAGCCATGGAAGAATGCTCCATGTGACATACTACATGTGTGTGTGCCTACATATGTGTTGTACAAAATGGCTGATCGAAAGCGTATTTCGACATTAGCTATAATTGCTTCTCAGCAAAATAATAATAATAAATTTAGTAATTAATTAATTAATTAATTTAGTAATTATTAATTTATAATTTAGTTATCTGGAAAGTTAATTGACTATATATTCCTCGGTCCGAGAACTCGGATCGATTTCTAGCATCGTGGACACCAGGCCTAAGGAAATTTATAAACTTATTTATTACTCCTTACCTTTAACATCGTATATATAGACATTTCCCTTGTCATCCTTTTGTATATTTTTTTAAATATCCATGCATAAAATATGACGACCCGGGATTAAATTTTCCATTTTTTTTCACAAATTGTTACTGATTCGTGACTTTTAACGTGCCTCGTATCTCGTAAGAAAATTTCAGAACCTATAAAATACAAAAAGCTTAATAAGCTTTATTTATATTTAAAGACAATATTCTGACAATATACATCACTATAGAAATAAATCTAAACCTGGCTAACTGCTGTATTTAAATTTTTTATTTTACCGTGATGGCTAATGGTTGTACGAATGTTTCGAAGAACAAAAAACCATAAATAATTTAGTAATTTCATACTGTATTGCACTCTTTGCGCACTCTCCACCATCTCCACCGATCTCCACCTTCACACCGCGCAAAAGAGAGTGGAGAAAAGTCACACGAGTGGCCCACGGAGTACGGTTTTCGAACGGCCATGGTCGCATGGTCAGTGTGCCCATTAGGGGTTTTCGAACGATCTGAGTGTGACAAAATACACACGGGTGATGTTTTCGAACGCACCCCTGTGTGCAGGAGTCATCAGCCATATGGGTGCGTTCCCACTTAGCGCGTCATGCGACGTCATGCGTTCCCACTTAGCGTCGTCCTTCGCGGACCAATCAAATCGTTTCATTTTATTGCCTAACTTTACGACGAATAAAATGGGACGATTTGATTGGTCCGCGAAGGACGACGCGACGCATAATTCGCTAAGTGGGAACGCACCCATATGTCCCTGCATCGCGCGCTCTAATTTCCTAACTATTTTAATTAATATCAAAATTTTATTAATATCGAAATTTTACGTGGTTGTTTGAAAAATGATCTCTACAATATTTGTGCACTTTTATCTGTTCTACTTATATTTTTCTTTTGGTACGTTTTTTGCGGGATATCCTATATGTATGTCCTTATCAATATAAATAATATATTCTTCTGATGATCGATTAAAATCGGCTTTTTCTAAATAATTTCCAAAGTTGCATTCCAAAACAGCCTTTTTGAAGAAATTTTACTTAATATTCTATAGCATATGTAACGTGACTAGTGTAGACTAAGGTTGCGTTCCGTTTCACGCATTATGCGCGCATTGCCTACAATATACGTAACACGAACTATAGATGAATGCGCGCATATGCGTGAAACGGAACGCGACCTAGGATTTATAAATGCCTTTACATTTCTGGTATTTAGAGAATTGGACTTTTTCGATCTGGCGCATCTCAGTAATGCAGGATTCATACCTCGTCCGATGTCCGACGTACGATGTCCGATATCCAATAGGAGAACAGCTTTCTAATATAGAATTCAATTCTCCATTAGAAATTCTATTCTTTTATTGGATATCGGACGTCGTAAGTCGGACATCGGACGCCGTGTGAATCCTGCATAAGTGTGGTTCGTGATTGTTAGTAAAGTCCTATGCGCAATGCCAGACACAGATGTCTATACTAAACTAGATTGCTAACAGGCTATCTAAAAGCATGTAACGCTTTGCGTCCGATAGAGTTTCCGGTGCATGCGAGAAAATGGCTGCTACCGCTACATATTTTCATTACGTTTAGTCATAAAATTCTTTTGTTGAAAAGAGCAGAGCAAATAACGTTCAATATCATCTATTTTTTTGTTACGACATTTTTTGATGTAATAAGATGCTGGCATTTTTGGTTTTACGACAGTAATTTAATGGCCACGCTGACTTTCTTTGGCTTTAATTCTAAATTATCGATAGTTGTTAAATACAAATACTACTTTGCGTTTTACGCTTATATCTTACGTTATGTTCGCTAGATGTCTTACCGAATGTTTTCGCATTAGTATATGGTGGTGCGTGTGACATTGTTGTGGAGATCTTGCAGCTCTGTATTTCGAGTAATGTTCTTTGAGTCATTGAGGTATCATTTGAAGTTTTTCTATTCAGAAACCATCAAAGATCATGATTCAGCGTGTTCGACCACGTCTCGTAACTTTCGACGTGACAGGAACACTGCTGATGACCAAATTGGAGGAGTATTATGCTAATATCGGTCGTCAATATGGTCTTCATGTCGATTCGCACCGTTTGGCGCGAAGTTTCAAGAGTAATTTCATCCGACTTACTGCGGAACATCCGATTTTCGGTCGACATACTGGGCTAGGATGGGAAAATTGGTGGCGGACTATCGTCTATAAAGTTTTTAAGGATCAACATCCCTCCGTATCTCAAGACACACTCAACAAGGTAATAATAATATGCGTGTAATATATTAAAAAAAACGAAGGATGAAATAAAAAAAAGAATGCATAAGAGACAAATATTTTCGTAAAAAGAATGAATATTGGTCTCAGTGACGCCAATGATAACAATGAATATTTAACTTTTTTATTTATTGTGTAAAATAATATAAATTTGCATATTTTAAGTTAAAAAAGGAGGAAAAATGTTGGATAGCGAAATCCCGTTATCGTAAACCCTGCTATTATCACCACAGGTCGCCGATAACCTGATAAGCTGCTACGCCACCGCTCGATGTTGGCACACGTATCCGGGTGCCGTGGAGCTACTCGATTTCTTGCGAAGTAAGGATATCATCCTCGGAGTCATATCAAATTTCGATCGACGTCTCGAATCTATCCTTGAAGATACACAGATTCGCGAATACTTTGTTTTCGTCCTTACTTCTTATGACTTTGGCATAGAGAAACCGTGTTTGCCGATCTTCAACGAGGCCTTGAGACTTACGATGTTGTTTCGAAAGGAGAAAATTTGGCCCCAAGAGGCAATGCACATCGGCGATACAATTAATAGCGATTATCTTGGGGCAAAAAGTGCTAGTTGGAACGCATTATTAATCAAACATAATGAAGGTGGCAAAATCAGTGAGGACAAAATACCCAAAGAAGATGTATTTAAGAGTTTGAAAGAACTTCAAAGTTATTTCGAAAAGATTTTTACAAGTGGCATCTCAAGATGATATAATTGATGTACATTTTTTTAATTTATTTTAATTTTGTTAGATTTATTTATGATAACACTGAATATTAGCATTGAATAGAATTTCTTGATTTTGATTTATTTTATTTGTCATTTGATAGATTCTCGATATTTTCTAAGTAGTATAATTTCATTATTATGCTAGTTTATATTTTTAAACTTGATTTATTTTTGTTACAAAATTTATTTAGTAATAACGGTAATTTAGTAGCGCGTGGTTTAGTAAAGTTCCTGAGAATAATATGGCTTTGCTAAGGTTTGAAAAATTCTCCAGCTGTTATTTTATAGAATTTTAAAAAATCCGCTTGCACTACAGTTTACTTTGGACCTTTGGCATTATGAAAAAAATCATGAAAGAAGATATTCATTTCAAAATAAGAAGATTTCATAAGAAAATAACTTATTTTGAAAAATCAGTATTTTGGCATATTAAAAACATACGAAAGTGATATGACCATTTTTTATCTTTTTAAAATGAATTTTTTAACCATTAATCAATTTTTCAACCTTTAATCATAATTAATGCAATTTGTAATGGAAGTAATAAAAGTTTATAACAAAAGAAGTAATATTTATTTAGAAAAATACATTGCAGAATAAAATATTTATTTAAAATAATACATTACAGAAAAATACTGTGTAAGGCAGATTTTCCTTTTTAAGCCTACAAGCGTGTCGACCGCTCTAATTGGCTGTCGGATAATTAATTTGTGGAGTACTTGGAAAAAAAGTTAAGGACTTTAGGAGGATTCTATCCACCGGCCAATCGACACATCCGACAATACTTGTCGTACGACGCATGTATTATTAGCCTAACACAAGTTGATGAAAATTATAAATGTGAATATGTTAAACTTAATTACTAGAGTTAAGTAATTACTAGAAGATTTACAGTTTTATTGGTCAACACCTAATAAATTTATTCACTTTTAACAATTTTTACTATGTTATGTTAAAGGAGTCGTAAACAAATGCTGAGTTAACTTTGGAGACCATATACGACGAGAGCGCGAAGTACTGCCTCTGTGCGTAAATGGGTGAGGCTCAATTGCACACCACCAACCGGTGTTCTATTTTATCCAGTGAAAAACTAATGCACTAGATAAAGCAGAGCACCAGTTGGTGGTGTGCAATTGGGTCTGTGTGCAACTGGGCCTTATCTAACATCATAAGTAATACAATTTTGAGAATCAAGACCCAATATTCTTGAAAAATATCGTATATGTACTATGTTTATATGAAAAGCTATAGTTCATGTTACATATACTATAGTTCTTCATCGAAATATTGGCTTGAAGGTCTTTTTCTCTTTAAAAATATCACATACAATATTTCTATGAAAAACTATAATTTATGTCGCGTATATTGTGCATTTTTGAAAAATATTTTATTAACGATACTTTATTTTAATTTTACTAACAATATTTTATTAACAATATTTCGATGAAAAGTTATAGTTTATGTAATATAAATTATAACTTTTCATAAAAATATTGTATGTGATATTTTTCGAAAATAAAGTCGGAGGGGTCGTATTCTTGAAAAATATTGCATACGATATTTTGATGAAAAGCTGTAGTATACGTAATATGAACTATAGTTTTTCATGGAAATATCATATGTTAAGTTTTTGAGAATAAGACCGCAGGGGTTGTATTCTTGAAAAATATTATATACGATATTTTTTAAGAACAAAGCTGCAGATCTCGTTAAAATTAATGTTCATATATTTACGTGTACATTACTGGATTTGTTCAGAAAACATAGCTGATTAGTGAGCGGTCAGTGATTATTGGTCCTTACTGTTAGATCCCTAACTTTAGACCAATTACGTTGACTAATTACTCAATCGTTGTGCAACAGTTGTGTTTTCTGAACGCACCCTATTTCTTTGCGCATGCGTAAGTAACCTATCTTGTCGTAAGCTGGCGAGAATGAGCAGGGGAGTGCGTGGGAGGTAAAGAGAGGTATAGATACAATACAAATACGGGAGAACGTATACCTCGCAGCATATGAGTGCGCCGTTGCTCATCGGTTGCTCATTTCGTTGCAGGTTACGCGGCGGTCCAATTTCTTTCGAAGAATCGGGAGATGCATCGCGTTCGATAATAACGATTGACAGTGGTGAGTGATCCTCGCCGCTGCATAACGTCACTTCGAAATTGTATTTTCACACTTGATTACGAGCAGTGAGAAAAGGTTCAGTGAGTGAAGTTCTGGACGCTGAACTTTTTCTGTGTAAAAATGCAAGTGACTAAGGTATCTCTGTTGTTGCTGCTTGCTGGAAGCTGCGCGCTCGCCAATCCTGAGCCCTCGGAAGAGCTGTTCAGCCGTTTGCAACCGAGGACCCGTAAAGAGGACAAGTGTTACGATGAGAACGGCAAGCCTCAGGTTTGTCATTAAGATTGTTATTGCATACTTGTCATTTTTTTCAACTTATTTATGTTAATAGTATTGTATTAATTTTTTTATTAAATCTAGCATGTGTTTTATATTTAATGTTTAATACTTTTTCGTTGCTCATTAACAGTATTTATTAAAATTTCTTATATTTTATAACATTTTACTATATCTCTGTAGAAAAATTATGATTTATAGTAAAATACATTCAGTCATCTTTTGTTAATTTTCATTTCTATTTTCAATAAATTCATGATATTTTCAGTGAAACTTTTCTACCAGGATACATTTGTCAATTGCAGAATTATATATATATATAAAAAAAAACTTTTATACTTGCTTAAAAAGTATACATTAGGTAAATAAGAAGATCATTTGTGTTCAGGATTAACTTGCTGCTATTCAGACAGTAATTGATGAATTTTGTTGCTATTGAGCCTCAAATGCTCTTGCTATATTTTTTTAGTGCATATGAAGAAGAAATTTTAAGAAAAGTGCAAAGTTATTGTATTTACCAAAACTTCTTTTGCAGTTATATGATACAGTACATATGAAATTTTATAAATTTCAGGATGAATAAAAGTGTAAAGTTAGTCAGGATGAAGAGAAATATAAAATTGGTCTGTACGTGAATGGCTCCCCTATTCACTTTAAGAGTTAATATTTTATTATTACTTTTAAGCAAAATATTTTATAATAGAAAATATTCTTTGTGTGCAACGTTTAGTATTGCTTGTAGCTTTGGATTTCGGGAGTATGTTAAAAGAATTAAAAGAATGGGTTATCACAAGGGTTCCAAGTTGCTTGAACTCACGAAGATAACTGGTCCATGATATACATGAATAGATAACATTCCCAAGTCCGAGAGATGCTTTCTACAATCCTTTTCTATTTATATTTACTAAAAACTTTAAACATTTAGAAAATATCACAATACTAATATCAATACTAATATCAACAGACAATATCAACTTTTACATTTTTCTTATTTCTTATTTTTTAACTCACTATTTTTTAGTGTAAGTCTTGATTGGCTGGAGAAATAACAATAATGTTGAAAAATAAATTGATATAAAAAAAAGTAATTTTGAAAAACAATGAAATGAATAAAAAAATACTTAAAAAATAATTTTGCATTTATTTGGATTAATGCTGCAATTCTAAACAGAATCGTAAGATTTGTACCTTGCTTCCATAAAATTCGTAAGACCTTATGAGTAGATGTATAATTCTAAATATCTAGGATTTCACGTAATTTACAATGTTTATAAGTGATTGTACAGTATGATACATATAGGTTGCTTTCCAACAAGAGATACAAGTCGACACAAGTATCATCCTATCTTTACTCACTAAATGTGGAACAAAGATAGAATGATGTTTGTGTCGACTTGTGTCTCTTGTTGGAAAGCAATCATAGAGAATTGTAGATCTACTTACAAGTTCTTACGAATTTTACGAGAACAAATTACAAAACTTACGATTCTGTTTAAAATTGCATAAGATGGATTGTAGTAACGTCGTTTATTCATTAACAAAATATACACAAAAATATAGAAAAGAGAATATAAATATAAAAAATATAATTTAAGTATAAAAAAAAGAAATTTTTCATTCATATTTCAGAGATGTATACCACCGTTCGAGAACGCGGCGTTCAACGTGCCGATGGAGGCAACTAACACATGTGGCGACGATCATCCAACGGAGTTTTGCAAGCAAACGGGCGTGCAAAAAAAGTCGTGCGAGATGTGTCAACGGGGTGATCACTCAGCCACCTATCTCACCGATCATGATAACAATGACAACGCCACATGGTGGCAGTCCAGCACCATGTATGAAGGCATTGAATATCCCAATCAGGTTAATCTTACCTTGCATTTGGGTATGTCATTCTTCAATATTTATTACCATTAAATGCATTCATTAATATTAATGATATTACAATTAGAAAAACGAGAATTTAGGATCTATAATGTTTGTCAGTGTTTAATTTATTAAAAAATTTTGCATAGAATAAATATAATAAAAAGTTGACGAGATATAGTTTCTGATTATATGTCTAAAATATATAAGATCACATTAATCTGTTGCTATATTTGTTATAATTTTTTCAAATGATATTTTTGTAATGACTTAAAATATTAACAAACGTGATATAAATAGTATGAAATAGTATTATGAACATACGATACCAGAATATCACGCTGACAGACGTTTATTCATCTCTGTCCCCTTCTCTCTCTCTCTCTCTCTCTCTCTCTCTCTCTCTCTCTCTCTCTCATATACTCACTCACTTTCTCATTGCCATCCTACTTCCTTATCTATGAGGATGTGCGATGAGATAAATCTTATAGCGGATGATGGAGAAATACGCGAGACTACTTCTCGAGAGCATTAGAGCCATATGAGGAATTGTTTTGCATAACAATAATTTTATTAAATAATATGGGACAAATGTTCATTTTATGTAGTTGATGATAATGTAGTTAATGATAATTAATTATATTCTACAATTTGATATTATTTTGTCATTCTATATTTTATGTATGTAAATTTTTAAATTGTGATTTCATAAAATTCGCGTAATTGTTTGATTAACTTTCATTTTTTAATTTTTTTGAGTTGTTCTTTTCAAATTATTTAACTATTTAATCGGTGTCCCCGCTTAGTTAGTTTTAAACGTTTTTAGAGATAATGAAAGAGAGAAAATTTTATTATAATATATACCATATGTGCATCCCATCTGTATACCATATGTGTACTCACTGAAATATTCTTTCATCTCCTCCTCTTATATATTGTCGCTTATATGGTTACATTAACATACTCTGAGAACTGAGAAGACAATGTTGATGTTGATTTAAAAAAACGATTTATACTACAAAATTCCTTATCTCTTGCAATATACTTATTCTATTAGAATGATACTTATAAATAGCTATTACTTATAGAATAATTATTTATTACTTTATAATAATGTGTGATTTGAATGGGTTTATAGGTAAGACATTCGATATAACGTATGTAAGAGTACTGTTCGAATCCCCACGACCAGAGAGTTGGGGAATTTACAAACGGAAGAATGAGAAGTCGACGTGGGAACCGTATCAGTTCTATTCGGCCACGTGCAGAGACACATACGAATTACCCGAATCGAAAGAAACCGTGCGCGGTGACGATACCCGCGTATTATGTACATCGGATTTCTCTGACATCTCACCTCTTACCAAGGGTACCGTCGCCTTTTCTACCTTGGAGGGTCGGCCTTCCGCCTATTATTTCGATACCAATCCTGAACTTCAGGTAATTTAATTTTCTTCAATAATATTCATCGAAGTTTTACTTTACATAATCTCTCTCGCTCTCCCTCTCCTCTTTTATTATAAATATTATTACATCTTATAGGAATGGGTACAAGCGACAGATTTGAGAATCACTTTGGATAGATTGAACACGTTTGGCGATGAAGTTTTTGGTGACTCGCACGTATTGAAATCTTACTATTACGCTATCGCCGATGTGGCAGTTGGCGCAAGATGCGCCTGCAATGGTCACGCCGGGGAATGTGTCAACAGTACTAGTGTGGACGGTAGAACTCGTCGAGTGTGCCGGTAAAATGATTCGTTTCTCAGCAATTTTACCGATGAAGTATTATTAAAGATTGTCAGTCCTAAGTAAATTTTCGAGGCACATTTACCTTTACGAACCCTTCTACCCTTCTACGGTCGTTAAAAGAGGATGATCTTATTGATTTTAGTTATTCGAAATAAATACGTACATTCAATGTGTACATGAAGTATTAATTTTATAACTATTTTGAGATGTTTAATCGTTATGTATACCTACAGACCTATACAGACTTAATAAAATATTATATATTAGATATTTCTATGAAACTGAATTTCTGCAGTTATCATCAAATTTTGCATAAATTTGTTGATAGAAATCATTAAATATCCAAGTTTTTTATTGAGCTAAATCCCGTAAGACCAACGGTCTTTAATATTATTTCGTCGATGACAATACGTTTCTCATTACACACGCACGTACGCATGCACGCACACATACACAATGATGAATATATTTTTTATAAGAATGCTCGGTTTAGTTGCAATAAATTATACTCTCGATTGTAACGATAACTGTAATAATTATCTAACAATGAGAGATTAACAATTGTATTTTTCTAATAGTAAATTTATAACAGTGTCAATTTTTAATTTTTCTATAGTGTATTTCCTGGTTATCTTTTTGACTAGATTGAAAATTAATAAATCAATGCTGTAGGTGCGAGCACAATACCGCCGGTCCAGATTGCAATGAGTGTCTACCCTTTTATAACGATGCGCCATGGGGTCGAGCTACTACCACGGATGCACACGAATGTAAACGTAAGTAATTATCTTCGTATTTTTATGTCAATTTATCATTATCTAAAAAGGAATTTCTATATATAATTAAGACAAATATATAATTAAGACAAATATATAATTAAGACAAAACATTAAATTGTTAATTGTATAGGAGAATTTGATAAAATTAAAGATATGTTGGCGGGAAGATTAATTATTAATTGATTATTGACCAAATATCAAATTTCCAAAAAAAGCGTTTATCTAACTAAAATATGTCAAGGACTAAAATTTCAAATTTATTTTGAATTTATTTAATTTAAAATTTAAATTTTAGTTTAAACTTGTGAATTTCGGAGATTAGTTTTTATACGATGGTCCTGCTAAGCGAGATGACCATAAGCGACGGTATTGGTTCGATGTTACCTTTTACGTACTGACCGGCTTTACCTTTAACGTGCATCTCTCTGCTGCGTTCGCGAGTGGGGATGGGCAAGATGCAATGTACTTCTCTTTGCACTCGTTACATCGCCATTTGCCACGATAAAAGACGTATCTGTTTCTGTCTTTCTGTCGAAACCTCCGAAACTCGCTAAACAATAAAACTTGTCCAAAAAATAGATTTTCAAAAAGTCTAACAATTTTTTCTCCAAGAAGTTTATAATAAAAAAGCGAGTGTATAAAAATCGGATGAATATTCGTGTAAAGAATATAGAAATCCAGAATGATCGTAATTTAAAGTGCCAGTGTCTTGAAATAACTCATTTTTAATTGATTTCTGTGAAAATTGTTATACTGGAAAAATGAGATTGTTGATGTTATTGATAATAATAAGATGTATAACAAAATGCGTCGCATGGAATAGACTTCCCCTTTGGTATTCGAGATCTGGTAATTGATTGTTTTATAACATATTTTATTATAATATATTATATAATGTTTATAGTATATAATATAGTATAATGTATATAGTATATAACAGTATATAACATAGTATTTTAAAATAATTATTCAATAAAATATTATTATTTATATTAAAACACTTTTTATACACGTGCGTGCAAATAATACTAAACTATTAATCGATTTTTTTACAGCTTGCAATTGCAATGACTACTCGGACAGGTGTTATTTTGATAAAGAACTGTACAAGTTGACGGGTCATGGGGGTCATTGCTTGGATTGTCAAGCGAATCGTGATGGCGCTAATTGCGAACGGTGTCGTGAAAATTATTACCAACGACCTGAAGATAATTACTGTATCGCCTGCAACTGCAACGAGATCGGTATGTGTGCAATTCTTTCTATGGAAGCTTTTTCGATGATTATCATAAGTAAGCTTTACGAATTGATATTACAAATAATCATTTTTACTTGTTTCGTCAAAAAAAGATGAAATTTAAAAATTTTCTCGGAATTTTTATGATTATTTATTTTATTGTTATTAAAGATAATTATTGTAATTGATAATCAGGTTCGAGAAGTCTGCAATGTAATAGCGAAGGCAAGTGCCAGTGTAAACCAGGTGTGACAGGAGATAAATGTGATCGTTGCGCACCTAATTTCTACAATTTTGGTTCATCGGGTTGTACCTCGTGTGAGTGCAGTCTCGCAGGATCGGAGGGAAACAGTCCTAGTTGTGATTCGGTCACAGGAGTCTGTGTTTGTAAAGAAAACGTCGAAGGAAAACGCTGCAGAGAGTCAGTACTGCTTGCTTTATCTATAATTAATATTGGAATATTTAGATTAAAAAATGAAAAGGGGTTATTATTATTCGATAATTGAGATATGAGAATGTAAGAACGATGTTTGGAACTCATGGCGATTGGATGTAGTGCACACTAAACCCGATATCAGTTTATTTTTGTATTTAAAATCATCTTAGATTTACCTCCAGAAATGCTCTGTATCAATCAAACGATTTGCACAGCATCTGAAGATAAATTTAAGACAATCATAAATATAAGGTCTGACTATGAATACTGCCTTAATGGATATTAGTGCGCACTAGTGTATCCAATCGAAATTGCTATCAGACTAATAGAAACCTTTATTATTTGGGAGGAACTATCAGACTAATAGAAACCTTATTATTCAGAAGGAACTTTATTATTATTTACATTTATTATTTAGAAGGAACTTTTATTAAAATAATTTTAAGGTTAAATACACTTTAAACAACGTTAATCATACTCTTTGCTTTTTCATTTAATTTATAAAGTGTCCAAATCTATATTTTTAATTTTTTAAATTTTACTAATACAGTAATAATGGGCTCCTAAATGTACAATCATTAAATATAACCAGCCAATAAGAAATAATACAGGATATATGTTACAAAATATACTTTCTTATATATACATATGTAAAATCGAAAGATTTTGCATCCTATATTTTGTGTCAGCACTTATTGGCTGGTTTAGTGAAGATTTTTATATTTTATTTAATTATATTTATTTTGTTATAACTATACATACACATATATACATATACAGATGTCGTCCAGGCTTCTTCAACTTAGCAGTAGAGAATGAATTCGGCTGTACGCCGTGCTTCTGCTATGGTCATTCTGCTGTTTGTCGATCAGCCACCGGCTACTCCAAGCTCGTCATCGAGAGTATGTTTGTCAGAGGAAACGAACGCTGGTCCGCTATGGTGGTCGGCAATCAGATCCCGGTACACTACGATGCACTAACGCAAACCATTTCTGTAACCGCATTGAGCCGTGACAACGTTTACTTCCTCGCTCCCGATAGATTCCTAGGGGATCAACGAGCGTCATACAATCAAGATCTGTCCTTTTCATTGAGGATAGGAGAAACCGGCCCAGCAGTCACGGCGCGAGACGTGATTCTCGAAGGTGCAAACGGTGGACAAATCACACAGGCCATCTTTGGACAGAATAATCGACCACCAACCATCAAAGTAAGATTTCTATATTTTTATTCTTCTCTATATTTTCTATTATTATATATTCATAGTAAGTCCTCTCAAATATCACGTAAAAATATCCGACTATATGAAAGGTTATATAACGCTTTTCTTTGTTTTGTTATGTTCGTTGTTGTTTCATTTGTTTTTTTACTTTGCTTATTACATACAAAATATTAGAATACTAGAATTTAATATATGCACATACACACACACACACGCGCGCGCGCGCGCACACGCACACGCACACGCACGCACACACACACACAAAACTAAAATTAATATTTAAATTTGACACGTGACACTGATGCAATTTTTGTTGCAGCGTCAGGAATTTCAATTTAAATTGCACGAACATTCGAGCTATGGCTGGCAACCTCAACTTTCTTCTCGAGCCTTTATGTCAATCTTGTCAAACCTGACGGCTATTAAAATCCGCGGCACATACACTAATCAAGGTCGAGGCTTTTTTGACGACGTGAAATTAGAAACAGCGCATCGTGGTGCCGCTGGTGAACCTGCTGATTGGGTGGAACATTGTCAGTGTCCTCACGGTTACGTCGGTCAATTCTGCGAGTCCTGCGCGCCAGGATTTCATCACGATCCGCCTAACGGTGGCCCGTTCGCTCTTTGCGTATCCTGTAATTGCAATGGTCACGCTGATATCTGTGAAGCTGAGACAGGACAGTGTATCTGTCAGCACAATACGGCCGGTGACAATTGTGAGCTATGCGCCCGCGGCTTTTATGGACATCCGTTAAGAGGAACGCCCGACGATTGCCAATCGTGCCCTTGCCCTGATAACGGACCTTGCATTCTTCTAGGAAGCAATCCCGATCCCATCTGCTCTGAATGCCCTATCGGCAGAACCGGTGAGTGATTAATATATCTTAAATAAAATCTTATATTAACTAAGATATATTTAATTTTTTAATCAATTATATTAATATACTTTATTATATGTGTGATTAATATACACACTTTAATATACTTTAATATATGATTAATATACTTTAATATTTTCTTCTTATATGATATTTACTACTAATTTATTAAGCATTACAATTTAATAAAATATTTATCTTTTTTTAGGACCTAGATGCGAAACGTGTTCAGACGGTTACTTTGGAAATCCTGAGGAAGGCTTAGCTTGTCGTCTTTGCGATTGCAATAACAATATTGACTTAAACGCTGTGAGAAATTGTAATCACGAGACTGGAGAGTGTCTCAAGTGCGTTAACAACACGGCAGGGTTTCATTGCGACGAATGTCTACCTGGTACTTTGATATAATTTATTTCCACCTATAATACTACACACACACACGCACACGTATATGTATATTATATATATGTATTATATATGTATACTATATATGTATATATTATGTATGTATATGGGAAATTTTTTTTGGTATACTGTTTGCATTGTCTTTCCGCCTCCCATGGGCATTTATGCATTTTGGTGATACTCGCTGCTAAAAGGCTCGCGCGGTCAACCGACTGCGCAATCGTGCGTTTAGCTTTCGTCTTATTGCATCATGCGTGCTTTAGTGGGCTAATATATAATATTTAATATATAAATTAAAATTTAACATTTCTTTATTATTTTACATAATTAAAAATTATTTATTTAATCTGTCACACAGGATATTACGGGGATGCATTATCGGATCGTAAAGAGGACGGGTGTAAGTTATGTCAGTGTTATCCACCGGGCACATTGGAATTGGACGATGGTAGAGTTATGCCATGTGACCAATTGACAGGACACTGTGCGTGTAAGCCGCATGTAATCGGTCGGAATTGTGACCGATGCGAAGAGGGCTATTATCATATTATGAGTGGCGAAGGCTGCACGCCCTGCAACTGTGACTTCGAGGGTTCATACAATCGAACTTGTGACCCTATCACCGGTCAATGTCAGTGTAGAGTAGGTGTCACTGGACAACATTGTGATACATGCGAGCCATATCAGTACGGATTCAGCCGAGAAGGCTGCAAGCCTTGTGATTGCGATAGCATTGGCTCTCAGGATTTGCAATGCGACGCCAGCGGACAGTGTCCTGTAGGTATACATTTAAGATAAAAGATATTATAGACACTTTTCATATCTTCAAAAGCTATCAAGATATTTCTGATCAAAAATTTTATAAAATTAACGTGACACGTAAATAAGCTGTACTAATGTACAACCAAGAGTGAGAAATAAAAGAGAAATAAGATATACAAGAGCCATCGACGCTACGTCACATGCGCTTGATATTGTCAAATATTATTATCTTCCTATAATTTAAATTCAATTCCTATTAAACATCTACGAATGGTTTTTATATGTTTTATTTTTCTCACATAAAGTTAACGCTATATATTTGATGATTGTTGGTAGTGTCTGGCGAACGTAGAAGGTAGACGCTGCGATCGTTGTAAAGAGAATAAGCACAACCGCCAAAATGGATGCGTGGAATGTCCAGATTGTTATAATCTTGTGCAATCGGCCGTCAACGATCATAGGAGACATTTGGCCGAATTGGAGAACACCCTGAAGAAAATTAACAGCAGTCCTACTGTCATCAATGATTCGGACTTCGAAAAGGAACTCAAGAACGTTCAAGATAGAGTCAGAGCATTATTGAATGTTGCCATACAAGGATCCGGCAGTAATTATTGTTGTCTTTTATTATTATTACTGTTATTTTTTAAATATACTTTACATTTGTCTAAATGTAGACAAAATCATTATATTAACACAAACTTTTTTTCGAGTCGATATGTTAAAATCACAAGTTTCGTAATCAATATTATATAAAATAAACTTTCTATTATATTATATTTATTATTATTTAGACGTCTCCTTTTATCAGGTGAGAATAAAACGCTAGTAGAGCAGCTGGACGAGTTACGTGAGCAGCTCAACGCAATCGACAAAATCTACCAGACAGTGAATGTAACAGCGAATGATGCACGCGACATTATCAAGGAAGGCCTCATAAATATTGACGAAGCTGAAAAAGTGCTAGATAAGACATACGAGCAATTGACGGTAAGCAAAACTTTACTGAACCTGTTTTTGAGAGCTAAATTGTATTTGGACTCCAATAGAGTTAGGATTCAAGACTGTTTTAAAATATTTTCAATTTTTCTCCAAATTTATTTTGTTGTTGAAAATATTACAAAGATTTGGAAAGAAATTTTCTCAAAATCGATAGAAGAGAAAAGAGACAATGCAATTATTTGTTCTAATTACGCGAATAAAAGGAAGCAGAGGATTACTTGGCTACGGACGGAGCAAGCGCTCTCCAAGACGCGAAATTGCGCGCGAAACAGGTCGGTCAGGAAAACCAGCAGATGACAGAAATCGCACAGGAAGCCCGTTTGCTCGCAGATGTGTATGTATTTTGCGTTATTAATTTTCTCGAAGTTACTTTTATTTGAAGAATTTTTATTTTTTAGTAATTATATAAATTTTATTCAAACTAAGATATTGATTACTTTTTTATTATTGCTAATATTAAATAATATATAATTAATACAAATATTTTATATAATATTTTAATTATTCTTTCTGATATATTGGCACTATCTTTTTCAGAAACACCAATGAAGCTAAGAAGCTTTACATGTTGGCTGAACAAGCTCGAAATACTACATTGGAAGCGTACAATCTCGCGAAGCATGCGATATCTAAGTATTCCAATATTACGTAAGTAACTACGCATTTTCTACTACTTGTGTGTGTGTGTGTGTGTCTGTATACAGGGTGACCCAGACTTTCCTCCGCATATTTTGTGAAAATGTAAAGTCAAGGTGAACAAAAAAGTCTTATACAGTTTTACGATATTTGCAATAGTCGAGATATTAATTAAAGAAGATTGTTAAATAATTACGTACGATATGGTAGATGAACTGCGGTGGCGCCGTCTATCTTTGTATACTTATACATTAAGTCATCTGAACAAAAAAGTCTTCTACCATTTTGCAAATAACCACATAGATTTTTAAAATATTAATTAAAGAAAATTGTTACATATGATTGTGTACCATAATACACAAATTTTCTTTAATTAATATCTAAAAATTTATGTGATGATTTGCAAATTAGTAGAAGCCTTTTTTGTTCAGTTTGACTTTTGTTTAGATTTATTCACATATATGTAACAAAGTAAAACGTATAAGTATATGTAGAAGTGATGTATATGTATACTACACACACACGCACATGCACACACACAGCACATATATTTTTTTATTTTTAGTATAATTTATGTTTAATTTATAATTTTCACTGGTCTGTAAACGTACGATACATATATATTGGAAACAATTTTGCAGTGACGAAATAAGAGGATTGGAAAATAAGTTAGCACAATTGGAGGATCGTATGGACGAAGTAAGAAATCTCATTGCTATCGCGGCCAACAAGTCTTCAATTGTTTCTCAAGAAGCCATAGATTTATTAATTCTCGATCTAACTCTCCCGCTTGTCGATATCGAGCAACTGCGGCAGCAAGTAGAAAACGTCAACAATGAGGTGACTTACGATATCGTGTTATTTAGATTTATTTACATAATTTAGCATTTTATTAATTTAATTTTTATGTCTCTAGATGTAAATAATTTAAGTGACTTATATAATCTATTTATTAAAATAGGGTGTAAAGATCAAAGAACAAGCGCAACTTTTGTTAGAAGAAAACGAAAATCTTATAAACGAAATGATCGAGAAAGTGAGGAAAAGTCAAGAGCTCCTGGAACGAGCTCAAGATCAACAAGCGGCGACAGCCGAGCTACTGGCCGAATTAGATCAAGCCAACGCAACAGCGAACGACGCCGTTAATCGTGGCGACCAAACACTGAAAGAAGCTCAGGAAACTCTGAAAAAATTAGGAGGTAAATTCCCTAGAAAAAGAAAAGTTCGAAGAAATTTAAAGATATAACAAGATACGTTAAACAGTATTGTAAACACTGAAATGTATAAAAAGAATATTTAAATGAAACTAATTTTAGAATTCGACGCCGAGGTGCAACGCGAGCGTGTGAAGGCGCAGAATACTTTAAAGGATATACAAAGCATCAAAGAATTGATCGACATCGCTAGCGTGCAGGCGGAAGAAGTAGAGAGAGCGCTAAACGGGTCGGAAGACAATGCAAAGAATGCGCATGAAATAGCACAAAATGCTCAGGTAAGAGAAATTGTTGTGAGCTTTTATATATATATATATATATATATATATATATATATATATATATATATATATATGTATATCTTGGATGCTCTGTATATCGTATTTTCGTATTTTTCACAAGTGTTCTGGAAAGTTTCATTTATTTGCAAATATTTTATATCTTATAATTTCTATTTTCTTATTGTACTTCTCTATAATTTACGTTATTTTAGATTTATGCGGACAAAGCAAGCATAAACGCGAATGACATCAGAATGGAAGCAAATAAAACGAAGATTGAAGCTCTGCGACTTGGTAATGAGGCTGAAAAGCTCCATCAGAGGGTAGATATCACAGACACAATGATGAGGCAGTATGAGATCCAAGTGGTTAAGGACTCAAACGTCGCCACGGAGGTGAGAGATAAATAAATAAAATTTATCGAAATAATAAGACCGAAAGTAATAAAACCGATTTGAAATATAAAATGACGTGCTATGTGATAGAGATGTCGTTATATAATTAAATGTAAATAAAAGTAGACTTATATATCTTTATTATATTTAGATTTAATTATATAACGGGAAGCGTTACAAATAATAAATATAAAAATATGTATTTCCCTGTAATATTAAATTTAAACAGATATTGTTTATGATTATAAATTTTATTTTTTTAAACTTATGATTTATTCCTAGGCAAACCACAAAGTTGGTCAGGCGAAAATAAATGTAACTCAAGCCATGCATCAAGTCGATAAGGCCTTATTCGAAGTAGCTGAGATTATCAAAGAGCTAGAAAATCTACCTGAAATCGGTGAGTTTCTTATAGTTATTTTCTTTAAATCTTATATAATTTCTTATATATTCTTATATATTTCTTATATATTTTTACGTATTATATATTTGTTATATATTTCTTATATATATTATATTAATCTTATATATTTTAATTCTATTTTTTAACTTATACATTTTATTTGCATGTAAAAATTCTAAAATTTTTGTCAAGTATTTTAATTCATTTTAAATACTTTTTGCTGTAAAAAGTTTAGAATGACAAATAATTTAAAAAATATTTAATATGATAATTACATAATTACAATAATCATGTTTTATTTTTTAATCCAGACGATGCCGATCTAAATCGATTGGAGGAGCGGCTAGCGGCTGCTGAGAAAGAGATTAAAGCAGCCAATTTGGACCAGCGAATTCGCGCTTTAACGGATGCTAAGAATCTGCAAACACAGTGGGTAAAAAACTTTGAAAGCGAGGTCAATAGATTACGAATTGAAGTGGAAAATATCGACGACATCCGCAAAGTTCTGCCGGTTGATTGTTATCAGCGAGTTCGCCTCGAGCCCTGAAGTGCCTTTCTTTTTTTTATAATTGCATCATTTTATACCAAAGATTTTTTTATAATATATACACAGGGGTTTGTCGTCACTTTTTATCCACTATCGTTCAGCATTTATATTTGTTATAACTATTACTAATTTCGATACCTGTATAAATATGTATATAGTGTCTGTATACATCTGTAACAAGTCACTGCCATATTATTGCATTTAAAACAATCTAAAATCTAAGAATTTCAAGAAACAATCATGTAAATGTAGAATATTATTCTTCAGCATTTTCAAAATGAAATATTTTTAAATAATAAGACAATTAATCGATTTTTATAACAATATTATAGAAATCTATTTTGTAAAAATATATAACGAAATTTTTTTACATAATCTTAGAAATTTCTGAGTATACACTATCTGGCATGATAGCCTTAATTTACTAAGTCTAGTTTTCTCCAAATAAATTTCTTGATTATGCACAATGTATATATATATATTCGTGTATTATGACTGCTAGTTTTTCCGACGGAGTCACTTCCTCGAAATAATTAACAATTATGATGCACGAATATGTATACATATAGCGCGTAAATTTGTTTAAGTGGAGAAGTAGAATGTTAGTAAACTAAATATTAAATATTATGACTAAATATTAAGACTATTATGTCGAGTTGTATACAATTGAGTTAATATTAAGAATAACGTCCATCTCCTTGACATATTTTGATATAAAATTATCAAATATTGCAGTACTACCAAATTATACAAATTGTTAAAATTAGTCGAATAATTTAAATTACTCAAATTTATGTTTCTCAAAATGTACTTAATCATTGTTTAAAAGCGATTGAAGTAATAGTGAAACATATTTTTTTTATCAACATTTGTTGAAAACAGAATATATATTTACAACTTAGGACTGTATTCCCACACAGTAGAAATGTCCTGAATATATCATAGGGATATTCTACAGATATTGAGATATCTTTATAATATTCTTATGATGTATTCGAGACATTTCTCCTGTGTGGGTTATATAATATTTTAGAGAATCTCATTACGCATACAATCAAGATTATATTTCACGTGGCAGTATGCTCACAATATTTTATTATAAGAAGATGAAGAAAGCATGTTTATATAAGTTTAACATTATATGTACAGATTCTACTGCTTTGAGATAATAAATATTTTAAAAGTGGTAACAATTATTTTTTATACTTGCCTAATATTAGTGTACACATACAGTATCAAAGTTATTGTTATTGTTCGGGAATTGAGCGAGTCTCCGATCAATCCGGAAACTAGATCTGCCCAGTGTAGGGCATGGCACGCGAGAGGAGGATAATGAAGGTTGGCATGCACTAAAGAAACGTTACTTTGATTTCCGCGAAACACTCGCCTTTGTTTAGGTGAAGATTATAAGTTCATTTGCGAGATGATCTAGGTGAGCGAAAAAGCCACTCGTTTGTAGTCGGAAATCTTCAGTGCATTTAATTTCACGTGTTAGTTCCGTCAGAGAAAAGCCTGAGAGTGCGGTCCCATGGCACAGAGTTTTCACGTAACGCTTATTGCGTAAACAATCAGAGACGTTACGCGTTTTCCGTTGCGCATATTATAAAAATTGCGTATAGTTTTAGCATATTACGCGTTTTTGTTGAAGCGTATTTGTGTGTGCTCATGATTTGAACACGTAACGCGCAACAATAATAACAATTGGCCAGCTAGTAATATATACTGTAAGAGTATTTAACTCAACTGGAACATTGGGCGCATTCAGTAGAAAAAGCGCTCAGTGAGTAATCAACGATTATTGGTTCTTGCTATTAGATCCCTAAATCTAGACCAATTACATTGGCTGCATTCAGTAGACTCAACAGTTGGGCAACATTACTAGATTTTCTACTGAATGACGCTCCGCTCATGGTACGTTCAGATTCCTCATCCGGGTGCACTCTATCACTAGAAACACTATAGTATATGTTACATAACTATAACATTTCTAGTAATAGAATACACCCGTGTGGGGAATCTGAACG